CACTCTTTGAAATGGAATCCTCCGGTTGGTGTGCAGACACGCGAAGAACAGACCATCTACGAAACGTGCTGCCAAAGGCAAAGAACGGCGCAAGGTGCTTCCCAACTTTGCCTGCCCAGTCTTATTGGCGTCATCCAGCAGAGGCCATCCATTGACTCGCTTGCTCGGGTCTGACTGTTGTAATGGGCACGTTGCATGGGTTGGATAGATGCGCGCTGCCACGTCCCTGTTGAAGCAAGCCCCGACCGAGCAAGAGCGTCTTGTGGTTCATGACATCTTTTTGAGCACTCGGGGGCTGACTCGCGAGCTGGGGCCCACTCAACGGTTTGTTCGCTTCTTCTCTCAACATGCCTTGGACTCTGACACGTGCTGATTGTGATCAAATTTTCGATACCCGAATTCGCGCGTGCACATCAGCTCGAACTCATGTTACTGCGTGTGCCGCAGATGGATGCGCGACACGGAACATTCCACGATCGAGATGTGCCACCCTCAGGAGCGAAACATCCACAACTCCATCTTTGGCGGATTCCTCATGAGGGAAGCCTTTGAACTGGGCTGGATGACCGCCTCCATGTTTTGCGGCACGGTACATATTCGCGACAGCTTTTTTTTTTTTTTTTTTGGTGGTTTTGTTGGTGGCCCGGTAACGGCTACCCCAGCGTCGTTAGATCAAACTAGGACACTCGCGGGTAGCAATCACTCATGCTGCTGGCGCTCACACGTAGCATGCATCCTTCTTATCAATGGATGACACATCCTTCCGTTTGCCCGTGCCAATTGGGTCCATTCTGCGTTTCAAGTCGCGAGTAACCTACACGCAGCCTTCAGCCAAAGTGATTCTTGTGGATGTGGCCGCCGAAGTGGTCAATGTTGAGTATGTTGTAGCCCCCCCCCCCCCTGGTGCCCGAGCCAAGTCTGTTGGTTGTTGAAGTCACTGGTCGGGTTTCCTGCTCTCAGGACGGGCGACTCGCAGATTACCAACACCTTTCACTTCACGTTTAGCGTGCCCGACAAGGCCACAGTGCCACAGGTCTTGCCCCGCACGTATGAAGGTATGATGCGCCGCTATCATCACCACGCACAGTTTGGTTTCCACACCGTGCACCGAGAGCAATCCAGGCCGAGCCTCATGCGGTGGCCCTTGACGGTTTATGTGGGGTTTGGGCAGAAACCATGCTTTTCTTGGACGGTCGTCGTCGTTTAGCTACAGGCCGGGAAATCTGTGCCGAGGTAGCGCCGCACCTCCTGCCCTTTTACGAGGCTGCGCCCGAGAAGCAGACGTGAAAAGAGTTCAACCCAAGTCAATTTTTTTTTTTAAACCTTGAACCGAGAATGGAATACGCGTGGTCCACGTTGGTGTTCAAAACTCCCTTCGCGTCTTGATTCTCTTGTGTGCCTCGGGACCGTCCATCTTTAGAGGCAGGCCACCAGACATGCTTTGCCAGCCCTCTTCCATCATGTGTCGAGGAAGAGCTAAAGCAAAGCTGTGGCCGTCAAGTAAACAAGAGATTTTGAGAGAGAAGAGAGAGAGAGATTGAGAGAGAGTTTTTGAGAGGGAGAGAGAGAGAGAGAGAGAGAGAGAGAGAGAGAGAGAGAGAGAGAGAGAGAGAGAGATGAATTGGTTTGGAGAGAGAGAGAGAGAGAGAGAGAACACAAAACGCAATCAAGTCGGTTACGTGTGCTGTGGCAATGTGATGTGGTGATGCTACCCATTTTTCTCTTGGACTCAAAAGGCAGCGGTTGATGTTGGAAGAGGCTGCGGGCGGCGAGGAAGGGGAGGGACATCCATCGAACAGACTGACCAGGAAGATGGTTGACGATAAGCTTTTTACGGAGCGGTTTGGCTATGCGGTTCTGGCCATCGCACAGTCTCTGCACCCGAATCATCCGCAACACATTCTGGGATGGCTGGTGCTCAACTTGCTGGTGTACGGCACGGTGGCTTTGGGCGGCCGCGACCCCTTTAGCATTTTCTTCATTCTCTGTGCGGCGGGAGCTGTGCTTCTACATTTGCTCATGTCGCACCAACGCCGCTGCGAACATAATGATCGTCCAATCACGTAAGTTTTTTTTTTTTTTTTTAGCATGTTGATAACAATTTGCCATGTTGTGGTTTCGTGGCCGGTTGCGGCGTGACGTTGAGCCATGTCTCTGACGCGTGGCCCACGTACCCGTCACTTCGGATAGGGCACAAGAACACGAAATGCTTGACACGGTCCAAGCTCGTCTTGAAACGCTGCACAACTGCTATCAAATTACCATCCAAACCCTCAACCCATTCAAGCCTGTGAATGTGTCCCAGACCAAGGTGGGTGCTAGGGGTCCCACGGTCCTTTGCATGATAACTGGCCTTGTTCTTGCTGTCGCCTCATTGTTGCTATCCTGCCCTGCCGGGCTGTAGGAGCGGAGTCAAGCCCTCAAGCTGGCGCTGGTCGCGGTTGCTCTGGCGCTTCTGTCTTTGCGCTTCTCTGCCACCCTCATTCTCCTGGTTGCGGTCAATGCGATGGCCATCTATGTTCTGGATCTTGACCTCGTCTCGACCTCAATCCGCCTCAAAAACTGGGTGCAGCATCATTTGCCACACGCCGGTCGACATTGAGGAAGGACAACCATCTCTTTGTGGAGGGTCTGTCTGGCCGTGTACTTTCTCATCATTGCTCTTTGCAGGTTTCGTGTTTTTCTGCTTGTTTGCCGTTTTCCCTCATCTTCTCCCTTCCTCAAAGCTGTTTCGGACGTTGCGCGCCGTGCGCGTTTTGTTGTCTCGTGGAATCTACTCGTTCAAAATATCCTGTGTTTTGACGTGGCCAAGTAGTGAGCACATGGTATCCCAATCGAGCTTCTTGTATTATCTTTTGCTTCTTGCCGCACTAGCTCTTCTCCTCCTCAAGCAGGGCGAAGCCTCACTGGAAACCTCAATCAAATCATAGTGTACAACTTGGCTTCTTATTCCGCCCCTGCCCATCTATCGTGCTCCTTCTTGGTGTTTGCCCATCGTGTGGCTGTGCTAGTCGTGTCAGTGCCGATGACCTGTTTGCTAATATGACCATATGTGTGCGTGTGAGTGAGTGAGTGAGTGAGTGTGTGCGTGTGTGTGTGTGTGTGCCCCTGCGCCCGCGCCCGAGCCGGTTGCCCGTAGATCCGGACAACCATCTCATCTCTCATAGGAAGTCTTACATGGATGTATGTTCATCGACTGCACCTCCTCCAGATGAGGTGTCAGGTGAAAGTGTGACGTTCTGCACGTTTTCGCAGTCACGAGTTAATCAAGAAAAAAAAAAAAAAAAATCAAAAAACTTTTAAACATCATCACTGGCGAGGACCTGCTCGGAACGATCCGATCGGCAGTGCGGCGTTGGCTCGCGTCAGCTCGTGCCTCTCGAGCACTGCTTCTGGAGGAAGATCGTATGATTGACCGGTTGGCACCAGCTGGTAGTTGTCGTGGGGTTGCCCGCTACTGTATGAAGCAACGTGGTTGAGCTGCCGCAGAGCAATCGAGGTCGAGAATGATGGCAGGGAGCCACACCCGCGAGAGCGGGTAAGCGGGCGGCGCAAGTCAGGTTCATGGCACGCGCCCCAGCCGCCGCCACACCCGGCATTGGTCCTCTAGGCACCCAAAAAAGGCATTCTTTGCATCGGCTTGCACAGTGGGCGGTGAATTCGGTGCGGGGGAGTCGCATCATGTTGGGCCGTTTTCTGGGCCGCTTACGGCGTGGTAGCCCCCGCCTCCTGCTCCTGCTTCTGCTGGGTGTCTTGCTTTTCACGAGCCTGGCTCGGATCGACAGCGTATGGAGGCTTATTCGGCCCTCACACGGGTCGTCCGATCCCCGCGCGCCAAGTGCTTCCCTGCCGGCGGCAACGCCTGGCACTGCGCTTGAGCTGCGTAGCCTCGTCCTCGAACCTGCCGTCGCGCTCTCTCAAATCAACGCGGCAGCCAGCCCCTCGGATGAGGATTGCGTTCGTCTCTTTCGTGGTCTATCCCAGCACCACCGGCGCGATTTGGCAGCATATTGCTTGGATCGTTCACATCTCGGGCACCACATCAACTGGACTGCCCGTCTCCCTGTCAGCAAAGCTTGCCTCCGTCCCTCTGTGGCCTGGGACGCTCCGCTGGAAGGCGGGCTTACGTATGGCCTGGCCAACGAAGCCGTGTCGTTCCTCGTCCCTTTGACCACCCGTGCAGATGTCACCTTGATTGAGCGATTTCGGGATGATTCTTCCTTTATCAAGGCTCTTGATCCGAGCGAACGCCGTCGACTGCGCCAGCTCAAAGCTTGGCGTGAAGCTCGCCTATTGCCAGAGCGACCCCGGCTGCACGTCTCGCAGTGGGCGCCCGGTAACCTTTGGCGCAGCAAGCTGTTTGTAAGTTGAGTGATCTAGTTCATACCTCATGTTGTCACTTTCTCTGCGATCCTTCCTCCACGGGGGCGTGCCCGGCCCCTACACCCTTCTCACCTGAACCCTTTTTTGACTGGCATGCATTCACGCGCAGAGTTTCTCACCGCCCCGTGACACCTACCGCATTTCACGTGCCATGTATGAGGCCACGATCGTCCCCTCGGACTGGGCTCAAAATTTTAAAGAGATTGATGAGTGGTAGGTCAACGTGCCTCTCGAAGGAGCCGCCCCCCGGCCCCCCCTTTTTTTTTTCTTTTTCCCTGGTACAGATTGTGTGCACACCAGACCCACACCCAACTGGGCCTTCGTGTTCTTATTGTAGGTGGGTGCCATATGACGGCATGAAAACAATTTTGGTGGACAACCATGGCGTCTCTGCAAATCGCATCCATGTGGTCGAGGAGGGCTTGGATACACGGCGCACATTCAACCCCGATCTTTTCGATTACGCTTCAAGCCGAGCTCGCATCTACCCCAAGGATGCCCAAGGCGGCTTCATCTTTGTTTCCATCTTCAAGTGGGAAACACGCAAGGCGTATGAGGAGCTGATTCGAGCCTTTGTGACTGCCTTTCCAGGCAATGAGTCGGTGACCCTCTTCTTGCGCACCACCCCACCACAAAGTCTGCAGGATATAGTGTCTCGACTGGTAGGCAAGCGCGATGAACGGATACGTGTTTTGGAGCGCCAAGAGGACCATCGATACATGCAGATGCTTGCGGGTGCGGACGGCTTTGTGGCTGCCACGCATGGCGAGGGTTGGGGCCGTCCCATCATGGAAGGTGCGCTCATATCAAGGCTCTGTCCGAAGCGGGTCGCTCACGTTGTCCCACGCCATTCTTTGTCGGCATGGCAATGGCTCATCAAACTTTGCTGTGCCTCTAAGCCATGGCCATGGGTTTGCCCACCATCGCCACGAATTGGTCTGGGCCCACGCAGTTTATGACGCAAGATACCGGGTATCTGTTACCAGTCAAAGGACTGGTGGCGGCCACTGGTCTTCCTGGGGCTGACTCACGGGCTCAATGGGCAGACATCGACGTGGGGCTTCTGGCAGGGCTCATGAAGCGCATTGTTGAGCACCCCAACGAGGCACAGGCCGTCGGTGCCCGCGCCCGTCAACGCATCGTGCAGCATTATGATCAGGACGTAAGACATGCCTGTCCATTCTGAAGCTTCGTTCCTCGACATGGGCCTGTAACCAACCCCGAGAGCTCATCATTTTGATATCGTGCACAGGCCATTGCCGAGCAGGTTCTTGATCGCTTGCAGCAAGCTTGTGAAAGGCAACAGCGAGGCATTCTTCCACGCCACTTGGACACGCCGCATGTCCACCCTCGCCGCGGCAGCACGCCCGCCCCAACGACACCACCACGCCGTGGTCGGCATAAACGCCGTCGTCGAACGACGCGGCGGCCGTCCGGCCCCCCACCACGATCATAACGAAGCATCTTTCAGCTTTGAGAGACATCAGACAACACTCTCCTCCAGCATCCGTTTGGGTAAACACAAAACCCATATTTTCTGAACTGTATATGATTTTGCACCCCTTGCATTTGGGTTCAAACCACGTCCTGTCGAGATGCCTTTGCTATTCCAGATGCGAGCTTCTTGTTGGATCGAGACACCCTAGTGCCTTGATCTTTTCCGAGTAAATTCACACAACTGACTCAATGGACGATCTTTCGTTGTTCACAAACGTTCAAACACCATACAGCGACACAGCGACACAGCGACACAGCGACACAGCGACACAGCGACACAGACACACAGCGACACAGACACAGACACAGACACAGACACAGACACAGACACAGACACAGACACACAGACACACAGACACACAGACACACAGACACACAGACACACAGACACACAGACACAGACACACACACAGACACACAGACACACACACACACAGACACACACAGACACACACACAGACACACACACAGACACACAGACACACACAGACACACACAGACACACACAGACACACAGACACACACAGACAGACAGACACACACACACACACACAGACACACAGACACAGACACACACAGACACAGACACACACACACAAAATTGATTGAAATCGAATGTCATCATTTTTATCTTTTGGCTCAACGTTTTTTTTTTTTTTTTTTTTTTTTTTTTGGGCGTCGTTGCTCGATGTGGTCACACCGAGTTGCCTGAACAGGTCACGATCACCTCCTCGCGCTGGACAACTTGAAGAGGCGCGCGTTTCATGCGCATCGATACTGGTGTTGAACGTGTTTACTTTTGGTCGGGTTCAGGAGGCTAGCTGGCGGGTGGGGCGAGACAAGACAGCCATGTTGCGTCGTTGACCGACTGTTGCAGGATCACGCCGCTGATCCGGGCCCCATTCAACTCAGGCATGTCCATGCTGGCGATCCTCTTGGGGGCTCTGCTCCTAGGAAGCCAGTCACATGTGACATGTGCCCAAAATGCCACCGAGCCTCCAAATGTCATCCGTGGACTGACTGATGATACAGACACGCTGATCACGCTCTGCGTGTTCGCCGTCATCTGGCTGACCACACTGACGTTTTACTCGTCGCGGCTTTTGGGCTGGGTGGTCACCAAGTTACTCGGCCTCAATCGCGTGACAGGCGCCACAAAAAATCCACCCTCCATCCACATTGGCTCCATCTCCTTTTCTATTATCTCTGGCAAGATTGCGTTCAAGAACCTGCGCTTTATCACACGGGACTTTGGCTTGACCATCGTGACCGGCGACATCCGCATCAGGTAGCTTGTAGCGTCGTGCGCCGTTCTGACCCAGCACGCGGCCTCGGTACAAGTATCGGGTCGGCACAGCTCACGTTGAATATTGTCCGTGATTTTCCACCGCGACTGGTCCGGGCTTGCCGATTGTCTTTAGATATTGGCGACAGGCCCGTTACGAGCCGGCTGAGACTGCCGAGCGCAAGCGCCTGCTCATCAAGCTCAATGGCGTGCGGTACCACGTGTACAATGGTCAAGTTTCGTATGGTCTCATTGCTCAAGCCATTGATGAAAGTAAGTCGACGGCAAGCCTGTACACCATGGCTATTGCACCCATTCATATCCGAGCTTCATTCTGATCATGCCACTCCTTGCAGTTGCACCAGGCATCCTTGACAGCAGCTACCTTCCCGAGGCCGCCAGTTCCGACAGCGATGATACATCTCCTCCCGTTGTCCCAAGCAAAATGCCTTGGTTCATGACCATCTTCCCAACCATTCACATTTCCATCAGTCAGTAAACCTGTTTGGCCGGAAACCTGACAACGTCTTTGCATGGCCACTGGCATTGGTTGATCTCTTGCAAGAGGGGGGTCCCTGATGGGTATCAGATCGCTCAAGCCGTTTCTGATGCTTCATGTTTGTTATTTTCTCGACTTTGCATTGGGCACTTGCTGCTGGCCTACACAGTTCGCTTCCGCTACCTGGCTGGCAACCACCGCCTGCCATCGCACCTGTTTTTCACAGCTAGGACATGCAAGCTAGTCTATGGCATGGCTGAAGAGCGCTTCCAGTGTCCTGCCGACGCATACACGTGGGGCGTGTATGGAGACATGCTCAAACCGCGGGTTAGTGCGGCCAAGCCCCTAATCGCGCGCTTTCTCTTGCGTACCGTCTGCACCCCTCTCATCCCAGGCTCTCCTGTAATTCGCCAGTTGCGTATCGTGCCCAACGCCTCATACTTGGACAGCGATGGAGACGCTTCAAGTGCCACACAGGCCGAATCTGATGGCGTACACACGCGGCCAGTCTCAACTAGCGACACGCCACGTGAAGTTGGAACGGATGGTTACGTGCGCTACATGCCCACCGCCACAGGCGGAGGCGAGGAAAAGCGCGATAAAAAATGGAAAAAGCACCAAGTCTTGTCAACGCGCATGGTCAAGTTTGGCTACACCATGACCGAGCCAGGTTTGGTTGCAAACCAGGAGCCTGACCATCCACCACCAACGTGGCGCCTTGATCTAGATTTCGACGATGATGTTGACATTGTAGGCTAGACATCTTGCGCACATACTTTTGGCCAGCTGTTGGCGACTGGCCGCTGACGTTTGCACCCACTTGCTGCTGCAGGGCTACCCCGCTAGCTTGAATCAGCAACGAGCTTTCTTGCAAGAATTCTTCTACCCATGGGACTATCGAGATCGCAAGGCCACCGTGCCCGAAAATGTAAGTCGTGCACACAAGTCAAGCACCTCCGCCTCCTCTTTATTGCTTCGTTCAAGATCACCCCGAGCAAATCAAGTATCACAGATTTCTTTCTTCTTTTTTTTTCCCTGAACTTCTCCGTTTTGGGTGTCATGTGTCGTGACTCTCGCTTTTCCATTGCATCACGGTACAGCCCGTCCTGCGTCCGTTCAAGGAACTCGAGGTGAACGTCAACTTCAAAAAGGTTCGGGTTGCTCATGTAGCCATGCCGACCATCTAATCCGGCCCGTTTCTCTTTTTCCCTCTTCCGAAAAGCAGTGCTTATTTCATGAATTTGCTCGCTGCTGGGTTCCCTGGGCTGACGCAGCATGTCAAGGCGATTTTCACATTTGAAGGCATCCCCTTCTTCTCTGACTTGGGCAACAGTACGGCCAAACAGGAAGAAGGTCCGTGTAATGCGTATCGAGTGTTGTTTTTGTGATCGTCCCATCCTTGCGCTATACTTCTTTGCAACATGTTTCGAGACAACGGTTGCATTCGACAGCATCTCGTTCATGTGTCAGGCAACTCGCGCTTGCAGTGGCTCACCCAGAGCATCTCATGCTTGATTTCGCTCTGCACAGACATGATCCGTATCCTGGCACCAACTGGTACAGTAAAATTTACCATGCCAGCCTACATTGAGCCCAGTGGGTTTGATATGGAATTTTCAGTCGACCTCCTGCGCACCGAGGCAAGTGCCCTTATGCTTGCTTCACTTGCATTTTCCGAAAAACAAACAAAACAAGAAATTGACCTGGGTGCCGCCTTTGTAGTCGGAATGCATTATAGCCACCACGTCGTTGCATTTCTTCCCCATGCTGATCGAAAGCGCCGATCAGATTGCCATCAAGGTATGTGTTCCGGTGGTGAATCAACCCGTTACTTTTGTCTTGAGACGGGTTGGGGCAGATTACTCTTGGCATGCGAATCTTAAGCACATGCAATCGTTCCGTGTACCGATCGTCACCAGGGCAAACTCAGTACGCCATTGGCATGGTATGCTCCATCGGTCATGGACTATGATGTCGTCTTGACAAAACCCGTGCTCCACCATGTTAAAATGCACGTTCCATTTTTCATGGTATGATTGTGTCCATTTCCTTTCTCACTTTTCACGGTTGCACCTGTCACGAATGCACACGCACGGATAATTCTCACATGCACGCACGAACCGTCTTTTGCCTTTTTTTCTTTGTCTAGAAATGGTTTGAGGAGCTGGCGGGACAACCGACTCGTGATAGCGAGTCGGACTTTATACCTTCCCACACCAACGTCCGCGTTATGGCTCGCGATACACATCTACTGTGGGTCGTAAACAAGTATGTATTACCCCACCAGGTCTGAACCGGGCTTCATGGGAACGACCCCGACTTTTTTGATGACCATTTGCACGCCTATTTAGAAACAACTTTATTACCAATCCCGTCATCATGCAGTCAAAGTTCGTTTTCTTCCCCGTCTCATCGCAAGGCACCCAGTGGCTCATTTATCTGGCTCGCTTCCTTCTTTTTGCTCACTTTGTGTCTGTGCGATTCTCTGCCCAGGAACAACTCAATTCCGATTCCAGTGTCCATGCAGCCAAAGTATCTGTTGCTGCCTCCCAAAGAGCGACCTCGCCACAACGAATATTTGGACATGTGCAGCCCTTTACTCGAAGTGACCTTTGCCATCAATTTTGATGAGTTTGCGCCCGTCATGGCCGAGTCCGTCTACGACATCCATGCACCACAGGGCCTCAAGGTGCGTGCGTCCAAAATGTTTTTTGTGCAGGTTCTGGTCACTTACCTCCTTTTTGAAGTATGGCATGGCTTGGCAAAGCGCCTCATGCAACGCGTGTGCTTCGTCGACCCACGGCTCGCAGGCTGACTTGCTTCTTCCCGCGGACCATGAGCTCTCACACTGCATGGAAGATGTGGCCAGCCAGTCACGCTTGGTGCTAGACAATCTGAAATTGTCCATCGGTACCACTTTCCACTATATTGCTGGTGACGACTTGCAAGATAGTGTGCGTGTGTCCGTGCGGACGTCTCGCGCCAGTGGCGCCCTGACGGGAGTGATGGTGCCACGGTACGTCTCCAAATCACATGCCACTGAATTGTCAAAGCAGCCCTACGCTGGATCGCATCGCTCACGGGCCATTGTAACATGGATACCGGTGAGTAGGCTTCATGCTTGGTATCGCAACTACTTTGATCTTCAATGGCTCGTGACCAAGGCTGAACGCGCTGATGGCGGTTACAGTTACAGTGCCCATCGCCCGATCTTGTCAAATGCGGATCTTGGCAACGATTTTTGCTTCGTGTTGGATGTAGAAATTGGTGCCATGGATGTGCGAATGCCCAGCACGCTGCATGCTCGCTGGCCGTCAGATCCATCATTGGTGATTCAGCATGGACATTGCGGCATTCATACCAACCCACAGAATGTCAGTATCGAGTTTTTGTTTGATGCTTGTGAAATTCGTTTCCCAGGCAGCATATCAAGTCGAGCTCTTGCTCTTGGTCAGATCAAGGCCACACTGGACTCTGTATATGGTACGAGTCTTGCGGTGTTGCATTTGCTTTCCCTTCTCTGCTCTCTGGTACCCTTTTGCATTTCTCTCTCTGTGAACATCCACCTCCCACATCACGTTCTTTCTCTTTATTTTGCAGGGTCTACGGCGGAGAGGCAATTGTATGCCGACAACTTCAGCATTGACATGGCGAGTGTTGCTGGTCGGCTCTCACGGGACGACTTGGAAATCCTGGGCGCTACGCTGAGCAGCTTTTTGTACCATTGCAATGATTTTTATCATGAGGAAGAAAGCATGGAGGTGGCCTTGCAATCGTCAACTGCCGCGGTCGTCTCGGCTGATAATGCCATGACGCTAGAGGTGCGTGCCGGCCAGCCATTGGTGGCTTGAAGACGGGCTTGGTGTGTCTCATCCTCACAACTTTCGCTTTTGCTGGGCCCAGGGATCACAGCACGAGCTGCACTCGGAGAATTCGCCACTGGCAGACTTGTCTGCCACAAAAGAAGCCGGGTCTAACACAATCATCCACCGTCCTGCCCGTGAGCGTAGCCGACCCGGGCGAAAGATTGGCCGCACACTCACCAGCAATTCGACGCGATCCTCGGATTTTGACCATCGCCACGCCGAATCACAAACCCTGGAGGCATCTCAGGACAACGAAGCGCTCAAAGAGCTGGGCGCGCTGGGCAAGGCACCGCCGGTCTTTGTTCTCCGGGCACAACTGAGTAAATTGGTTGTCGATTTGACTCCAGACTCTGACTCCTTTACGCGCATCGAGATTCCTCTGATTCAGTTGTCGTACGACACTTTGGTTCGGACCGACTCGCATTCTCTCCTGCATGTGCACTGCAGCGATCTCCTGGCCCGTTCTTTTGTGTCAGGCGGTCTGAATGATCCTCAAATCCAGCACGTGCGTGCGTTGTTGCACTGCGACGCCACGGATTGGATTGAGGTTGCTGCCTTCCACACAGGGTTTGTTGTGCGTCAAGCGCACGCGCGCCCTCGCGTGGTTGATAACGAGCACCGACTGCAACGTCAGTTCCTGCTGGAGCAGGACGGCACCACTCATCAACTCAAGCGCTGGTTCTTCATGGACGATGAGGCCCATTATGACAACGACAACCACGCATGTCTTACCCCTCTGCGTTCATCCGATAGCGAGCTCGACTCGGATGTCGATATCGATCGATTGGCCCGCAGCCTCGACTGCCGTGGGGCTCGCGTGTCGTTCAATGGCCAAGGCGCACTCGAACCAGATTGGCAGCCTGAGATCCGCATTGACCGAATTGAAGAATTCAACGCACGTCAAGATAAGCCTCGCGGTTTGTCTCGACCATCACAGCCCGGAATGCCTCGCGTTCAGTCGGCCCCGAAGGGGCTCTCTCTCTTGCAAGACACCAATGGCCCCGCAGCTCTGCAAAGGCGCCGGTCAGCGCCAAGTGTACGCGGGCCTGCTGCTGGTAGCCAGTACAGCGCTTGGCCCTCACGTGGGCTGGCCGCCGTATCGGGCTTGCCAGATGTGCCGGAGCTTCGAGCGGAAGCGGATGTTTCGGGCGAAGACGGCAGCGGCTCTTCGGGAGCAGTTAAGCAGCGCCAGGCGTTTGCTTCGCGCTACTCCTCTGCTCTCTCACCAATCTCAGCCAGTCTTGAGGAACCGCAGACCGAAACAAAGGAGCAGCAAACTGTCAGGGATGTCGAGCAAGCTGCAGCCAAATCGGCAAGCAATGTGCCGATGGCTTCCCTCTCAGCATCGCCAGCCGAGCTCGATCCGGATGAGGATTCACATACAGACAATTCCCTCGCGCCAATTCCTGAAGCCCGTCCTCCACCCACCACTGGGCAACGCCGGCAGCTGTCCAGCGCCGCACGGAATTTGAAAAAGCACCTGCCAATTTCGCTTGTGCTCTCGAGTTCGGATGACGATGAAGAGCTGCAGCAAACTCAACCCGCGGCAGGCTCGGTCGATTCTGGACCCTTGCAGGCTCGACAGGCGCGACCCTCAACTGCCGCGGACGAATTCGTTTCGGCCTCATCTGGGTCCAGCGACTCAAATGCGAGTGAAGCGTCAGAGGACAGCTTTGCATCTGCCCGGTCCGACAACCTTGCCGCTTCTACTGGGGCAGATATCTTGAAGGGAGAGCTCATGCGCCTGCCAGCATCATCTGACGGCGCCCTCGTCCATGGCGTTGAAAGGATCCCGAGCCGCTCACCCGTTGCATCAAGTCATGCGCGGGCTCACTCTTCCAATGGAATCGCAGAAGATGATACTGAAAGCTCGTCAAGTGGTCGCACCCAGCCAACAGCATCACGTGCGACCCCATTGCTTCCATCACCTTTCCCATCAGCTGATCAGCGTGCCTCCGAGACGGCCAAGACTGCAGAGCAGGCGCACCCCTTGCAGCCCCTTGCCACTCGCCCACGGGTTGTTTCTACCACGACTCCTCGTGCTCTTGGTGGTGAGCCAAGCATGCGGTCTACGTCCCTTTCCTCTAATTTGTCACCCCGGCACGATCATCAAGCAGCTTCAAGAACACATTCTGGATCCCTTTGGTCCACGCAGTCCTCATCATCGGATTCAAGTTCAGCGAGTGATGAGGCCTCTGATTCGGATGATGGGTCTGTCGTGGACAGGGCCCCCGTGTTTTCTCCATCAGATGCTTCTGTGGGCCAGCCAGAGCAGTCCGGACTGCAGGGTCGACTGCATTCCTACTTAGACCTCCAGGTGCCCGTTCCAGAGGAGGAGTCTGACACGGGCACGCCCAGTGCGCGGTCGTTTTCGCCAGAAACGGAGGCAAATCTTGCAAGCGCCTCGTGTTTATTGCAAGGTGGGTGCAATTTTGCTTCGCGTACGCAGCACGTCTTGTCATGCCAAATTTCATCCGATAACGGCTGAGAACGCAAAGCCATGCCACTCATTTTCCTTTTGCTGAACTTTGCTGGGCAGGCGATGTGGAAATGGGCTCCGTACAGCGGGAGTCCATGGGCGAAGCCAGCGTGGCGAATCTGGCTTCGTATCTTTCTGTGTACGAGGTAGTGGGTGATGATGGTAGCTCAACACTACGAATGAAGGTTTGTGACACGTTCCAGCCGCTAGTCCGACGAGCTTTGGTCTGCTGGACGTCTGACGCCAGCGTGTTGCCGCTTCATAAACAGATGCAGCCCAGCGTGTCTCTGAGCGCCGTTTCCCATCAATTCCAAGCCGTCAGTGAAGATGAGGATCCGCACCTATTTGTCACTGACAACAGCTTTGATGAGTGTACTTCAGCCTCAGTCCGCTTTAGTCAAAGCGTGCAGCTGGTCTTGACTCCGTTGCTGCTACCGGTACGCATCGCACATCCTACTCAAGCCATGTCCTCCTCACTTCATTACGGTGGTGGCCCATCATGGCACAATGATCCGCCCGTCGATTGAGGGTGCGTTGGGTTGGGTATCTCACTTGCACTGGGGGTTGCTGGGCCATAGTCTTTGAAGCAGTGGTGCACTCCACGTGAACCAACGGACATGGATGTTGCATTGTGCTTGGACGGGTTTAATCATCGCCTGCAGTCTCTCCAGCGACGGCATGGCAATGTGTCAGTGGACTCAACAGCAGATGATGCAAACAGCCCTGGTCGTGCCACGTCTGCTGCCGGTAGCGGTTTGGACGAGTCAGCGCGGGCACTTGTCACCCAGAATTGTGTCAAGGTGTTGCTTGCACGATTGAACCTGCGCTTTCTCCAGACTTGTACCGTAGCCGAGGAGCTCACCCTACCCATCCGTCTGGGAAAGGCCCCCATACTGAGCCACGAGCGAGTCAGTGGCGTGTCTGAGTTTCAGCTGCTGCTGCAGGATGTGGATGTGGCCGTCAGCACGTCGCAGCTAAGGCCAGATGCTTCCAGCACAACATGCTCAGCATTGATTGGTAATTTGGGTTTCAATGTCAACTGCACGCCCAATCTTGCACCAAAGTCCTTGGTCCTATCTCAGGGCCTAGTCGAGCGTGCACAGCGGCTGCACAGCTGCAACGACTCCATTGACCCAGCCTCCATTGACCAAACTCGGGGTCGCTTGCATTTAGCCCACGCCTCTATCACCAACATGCGCTTTTCCTTGATCGTTGACCATGAGCACCGTCCCGACTACGCATCGGATGATTTGCTGCGAAACTTTTTGCTGCAAAAGGCCACCACCGTCCGTGCCAGTCTCATTTTACCGCAGTTTGGCCTGGCAGCAGTGCCCCATTCCTTCTCGATCACCATCTGCTCGGTATCAGAACTCATTAAAGACATTAACGAAGCGCAAGAAGCTCTTTCCCAAAGCATGCAGCGTGCTCAACACCTGCGGGGTGCCATTTTCTTTCGCTTCTTGAAAAATGGCAGCTTGTTTCTCAAGAATCCAAAAGTCAATCTCCAGCCCGTCTTGCGTCGAGGTGCGAACCTGGTTGTGGAGGCCCTTGCTTGCTCTTTGCTCGGCCACCGATTGTTTTCATCAAGTTGGCGTTTTTAGCAATCCTCACGGCCGATGCCGCCTACTGCCTTTTAGATTTGAATCACATGCTGATGATTCTTTTCGCTCAAGTTGTGAAGAAATGGCCTTCCGTGCACAGTCAAGGCAACAACGTTTGGCAAGATTCACTGCACTTTGCGGCACAGCTACCAGATGACTACGTGACAAAGGTGTGGCTGGCCACTATCCTTCTGCTTGCGAAACCCGCGTTTTTGCTTGAACTTTGGGCGTTTGCTTGTGCTTCCCCCCCTTTTTTTTTCTTTATTTACCCTTTCCGTGCGGGTGTGTATGCGTCTACACATACGACTTGCCCTAATACGCGAATCTCATACTATGCTTGCTTGTCTTTTAGAGGAGCGAGATTCCTGCCTTTTATTGCCAAGGTGAAACAACGGATGTGTATGAGCGCATCGCACAGCTGATCGGCTTTGATTCTCTCAAGAAGATCTCGCACGCGCACGACTTGATGGGTGCGCAAATCCAATTTGATGTTAGCCTGGCAACTTCAGCGGTACGTGTCTTTGTTGATGCAGTTTCCTCGTTGCCTGGCATTTGTAATTACGATGTGCACTCATTGCGCCAAGCTTGCTCATCGCCCGTTGTCATGTGGTTTGGTTGTACCGACGTCAGATCCACTTGGCACTTTTTGACCCAAGCTCCACCTACTCAGCGGCCCATCCTTCAACTTACGGCTTGGGCAAGGTTTGCATCCATGCCAAGGGGGATGTGTCCTCGCAAGTTAACGGAGCGGGTGACGCGGACCCTTCAGCCGACCTTTCTCATGTTGTCATTACTCAAGTCAAGTGAGTGAATCGACTGCAACACACAAACAAATAAAACAACAACATTGTGTTGTTCGGTGGAGAAAGGCTTGTCGTGCTCAATGCTGCATGCCTTTTTCTCTCGCATTTGCCGTGCCTAGGTCCAGCTTGGTTTGCACCAGCACGCGCGTGGAGATGAAATCGTCAGATGCAGTATTGCGAATGGGACAACACATGCATGCCACCACGCTCTTCCTGACCCGGAAGCCGCATCACCGACCTACTAAACAGGCCAGCACAGAAAGCCCCCGCCCAGTTCGGCCTCGAGACTTGGGAGCAGCAGCCCGCGCCAAGGCGCAATCCCTGCAGAGCCAACCCCACCTGCACTCCAGTCGGCGTCACATGTTACGAGACTTGTCCGAGAACAGCGTTTTTGAGACATCAAATGACTTGTCTCCCTTTGAGGCCACGGGCGCGTCGCTTGGTCCACACGTGGATGTTGAGCCCGGTTCTGCTTCACGAAAGCGAAGCCGCCGTCGCATCTCGACCAGCAAAGGCCATTTGCGTTCTGCTACAAGCGTCAACAGCTCTGCTCGTCTAGTTGAAGCGCTTGATGGGCGCGAGAGTCCCGAAACCCTGATGGCTGACCCTCAAACAGCTCATCTGCAGGGCTTCCGCTGGGCATTTCAGCACAATCTCAATCTGGTGTGCACCGGTTCGCTTCATGTGGAGGGGGCCGTGATTGAGTCCATCCCACGCCCGAACCTCAAAGTGTTGCTGGAAGCCAAGGACCTGGCCTTGTTGCTTGGGATCGAGGGCCACGCAGTGCAGCGCAGTGGCGCCACACAAGTCTTTGTTGATGCCGTCAATGCGACGGCAACACTACAAGAAATCAACATGCTGTGTCAACAAGCAAACGATGCCAGCGGCTCGATATCGCCTCGTCCTTCCATGTCGATGCCTGCTGGTGCCGCCAACACGCGCGCCAACACGCGGCGCGTTCGCAGTAGCTTGGGTGTTATAGGACAGACAACCAATCCTTATGTTCAGAGAAAAGGGGGTGGGCCGCAGGTCCGCGCGCGTGCTGCACGGCGACGGGCGGCCCTGCATTTGGCACGGCGCGGTGATTCGCCCTTTTCTCGCCAGGCGTCGCACCACGGATCTCACTTCTCGCAGCAGGTGATGCCTCATGCCACGTGGGCCAACATGGTGACATTCAACCTCAAACCAGCTTCGCTCCATGTTCGACACCGCCCAGCGTCCAGCGGCGTGTGTCTCGAGTATAACGGCGCAGAGCTATCTCTGATGGGGGATCCGACGGCATTGGCCGAGGCTATCAACCACTGGAACGCCATCGCCGCGTATATGGCGTTGCTGCCCCAAGCAACGGATGAGGGTGATGCATCCGAGGCTGGCATCCACATGGCCACACCACGCGTCATTGGTTCGTCACGCCGAACAAGTTCAGCCAAGCATTTGGTCTCGCTGCGCGTCAACTTGAAGGACACGAGCCTGGCCATTTTGGACGGTGCAGTCATGGAGCTGAGCTACGCCATCCCTTGCATTGAGGTCATCGCATCGGCACCGGTTCAGGAGTCACTGTCTGACTGTCACGTCGAATTGACTGTGGCCGAGCAGCTGTTGAAGAGTAAACAGCAAGGACTGGAGCCCCTTCTTTTCAGCGTTCCAGCCGTGTCTACGGCTTGCGCAGTCACAAGTTGCGAACGGGATTGCGACCCCAAGTTTTTGGCTGCCCGGCTGGATCACAGCCACGGCATCCTTGTGGGCCGGGCTAAGGGTGAGGCGGATCGGGCAAATTCGAGCATGTCACTCTGGGCTGCGCAGGCTGGGCGCACGCTTGCCCCGCCCCGGCGAGTGCATCATGCCAAGATTCGTCTTCGCGTGCATGCCATGCATGTGCACATGGATATGAACGCGCTCAACCACATGCTATCCCTGCAACAGGTATATTCGCGTAAGGTGGACATAATCTCGAGCGCAGTGAGTAAGCTGGAACGGCCCCTTTCGGCTGTGAGCGAGGCATCGCTTCTGTCTCCATCTGCAGCGCGCTTTGATTCTGAGCCCAGCACTTCCTTGCTGGTGGATGCGCATGTGACGGCAGCTCGCCTTTGCTTTGGCGTCGGCGCCTCATCCAGCGCGGCCATGGTCGAGCTTCGCTCCCTAGTCGCCTCTGCAACCTTTCATCAAGCTTTCCAAGGTCTGAATGTATCGTGCGAGCCGCGCTTACAAGTCGTGGATTTAGCCGCCGGCCACCGCTCGCCGGCTGAGCTGTTGGCGTCGCTGGATACAACAGCACCCGGCGCCCTGCGCGCTTCAGCGGAGCTGGAAGTGGTTGGCTATCTAAATAATGCTCACGGCATGCACATGGTCACCAACTCACGCACCGTCAGCGCCGCAACCACCGACAGCACCACGGACGCGCGGTTTGGCATTGTCATTCAAGTCAACGCACCCTCCATCTACATGCCACCCTCTCTGATCAAACCCTTGGTGCGATTGGGGATCGAGGCAAAAGCGTCCGCCGAGGATTTTCAGAAACGTGTTGCTGGTGCCAAGACGCACTGGCGTTCGGGGGAAAGTCTCCGTCGAGTGACGGTGGCTCGTTCGCGCAGTCTCTTTTCTATTCGCATTGCGGTCAAAAACGCAAGCTGCCGCGTGCCGCTTACAATGAGATTCAACTCGCACGATCAATCCGTGCAATTTATTGTAGGTTTGCGTCTCATCTGTGTCGACGCACATGGTGTGGCTCTCTGTGTGTTTACGTGTGATATAGCTTGCTTGGGGAGGGATACGCAAGCTCAAGTTTGAGGCCGGGCCGACTCTCACACGAGCTTTTTTCAATCCGGCCATGGACTAGGTTTTGGCGCTCGAGCATCTTGATGCTACGCTTGATGACGGCCAGCTAGGCTTTGGTGATTTCAAGTCCTTGGTCCTGTTTTGGACTGTGGGCAAAGCAACAGATCACCCGCGCGAGTTTTTGGTCAAGGTGCTCCATGCGCCGGATCTTCCCATGAATTGCGCTGAGATTAGCCATGGCCAAGTCAAGTTTCATATGAAGACATGGTACCCGCATGAAGGAGAGGTGGGCAGCGTCAACACAAGCTTGAATTTCACCAGTACAGGGCTTGACATGCACGTGAATAAAGCTGCTGGTGGCCTCTTTGCGCAAACGGCCTACATCGTCCAGGTTTGTGTGGTGTGGTCCCTAGACTCCCTGCTCGGTATCTCTTCGGGCTCTCGGGCTCCCTTTGGGGCTGAGCTTGCTTGTGCTGCTGGTGCGCATGGTAGCAACCCGTCTCACTGCACATTATGTCGCGGGTGCTCTTTTCATTTATGTGGCGATGGTATCAGGTGATTGCGCGACAAATGGAATCACTAGCCCTGACGAGTGAAACAGATGCGTTGTATGCGCGAGCCAGTCAATCCAAGGCACAGCAGGACCAAATTTTGTTGGCGCTGGCGCGGCGACAGGAGGCGGCGCTGGCGCAGCAGCTGCGCGTGCACGCTGATCCAAGTGTTCTCGCCTTGATTCGCAAGCAATTGGCCGAGACACAGCGCATGCTTCGCTTGCGAGTACATTCTTCTCAAGTCCCATCTAAATCTGAGACAGCACCCACGCCGGCATCGCATGAGGCGAGCAAAGATGTACCCCAAACACTGTGGAACACTCGTTTTGATCTGAGTCTCAACTTTGAGGCAAGCGAAATCATTTTGCATGGTGAAGAAAGTGGATCTCGTGTACCCCGCCGTCAAATTGGCAATTCCAGTCAACGTCCTTCCTTGGGTACGTCCATGCCGGCTTTTTCATTTCTTCTGCGTGCACTTTGGATTTTAATTCTGCCCACTTGGCGAGAAAGAGCACGCAAAACAAGAAAAAACAAATGACTCTAACCTGATGCTCCCCTTGCCTGTCCTACTCGGGGTCTGTGCGAGGCAGCTTCAATTCGTAGGCTATCATCGTCCCGAGATACCAACAATAGCGAGAGCTTTTTTGCCATCCCCAAATTGACAACGCGCTTGACGTATGCTGCCCGCCCGCCGGCAACTCAGCACGAGTCGGGTATCGAAATTCGCGGCGTCATGAACGTATCCACGCGGTCGGCTGGCGCTACAGATATTCTCGAGGTATGCATTGGCTCGCGCAGTGGTCGATTCACCTCGGACCTGCAATTTGTCCTGTGAAAGCAATTGAGGTTGTCGCCACGCCTGTTGCTTGTGTGCATTACGTGCATGCGCACCCACCCGCTCTGCCAATTGTTGCTGGTCGATGTTGTATTACCCGTTGCTTGCTGGCTGATATTCTGACCGATGTCCCCCCATCTCCTTCCTTGTGTTTTGGTAACAAATCGCTAGCTGCGCTATACTCGGCGATCTCTGGATCTGGTGCTGGCTGTGGCTGAGAATTTCAAATCGGAGTATCGCAAGTGTGTGGATGATGAACGTCAGCAGCTGGAGGCCTTTGTGACTGTGCTGGACGATCCGCGCAACTCAACAAGCGTTGAGGACCATAGCACACCCGTGGTCGGGGCCGAGTCTGCCATCTATATGTTTGATCTCAAGGCTAGCGATGGCCGGCCGATTGAGTTTAGCTTTCACACGAGCGTGGATGGCATTTGCTTAATCTTTTCCTGCGAACCGGACAGCCCGATTGAGGGCCGCGTGCAACTGCCGGCTATGGACATTGGTATTTCGTCGTCTCGATCCTCCACCAAGCTGGCTCAGGCGCGGGAGCGGGGCGTATTTGTGTCCTTGGATGCCAGCCGTGTCTCCCTGTACGTTTATCATCCGTACTCAACGCTCAACAGCATCAACGAGAACGAAGCCGAGGAACAATTCCTTGCCGAATCAGCAGTTGCCCTCTCCGTGACGGGGCTGCATTTCCATGGCTCTCGCAAAATATTAAAACAGAGCGCCGGCGAGGTTCGACGCCACTTTGCCGCAGCCTTGGACGTGGACGACGTGCATGTGAATTATGATGTTACCAAGTTGCGAGACATTGTGCAGTTTAAGCGAGCCTGGTTCAACGCCAAGGTGTTCAAGGTCTTCCAAAGCCGAGACGAGACCGAGCGAGAGACTGGGTACACGGGGTCGACGGCCCCTGGACCCGAGTCATACGGTGTAGGTCCCGTGAGCACCATTCAATCGCGCAATTCAACGCGACGTACAGCGGCGGCGCACTCCGCCAAGCACGCGCTCGCGGTGCCTCGGCTCGCGGTCGACAAGGACACGAGTAGCGGATCAGGTGCATCAGCGGTCATGACCGAGGACGCCAGCATGAGCTTTGCATCCAGCGAACACGATGAAAGTGATCTTGCCACCCATTTCGACCTGTCAGGGGAGGAGGGCGAGCAATCAGACGATGAGGAGGAGGAGCGCTCGTTCGTCTCCGGTACAACCAGCAACGATCCTCTGCCGGCCACACACGTGCACATACTCATGGCCATTACGAAAACACGTGTGGTCATCAACCTGGATAAGTTGCTTGGGCCCATGTCCCTGGCTATGGATGACTTTGCCACGCGGTACAGTGCGGCGGAGGTCCCGGATGCAGCGCGCACCATTTTGCTGCCGGTTGTGCATTTGTCACGGTCTTCCTGTCGGCGTCTGGCTCTAGATACGTTGTCCACCACTTCAATTTTGCGCGCGCACATGGAGTGCTCTGGGTTGTCGACTGGTTATTTGCGTCGGCAGCAACTTCTAGACTCACTCAAGACGCAACTGGCGACCGAATTCCAGGTGAACGCAGACCTCCTTCAAGCGCGCATGTTTTACCACCATCCGCTCGTAGCTGTCGTCGATATTGCCAAGTTGCGCGCGGTGGCCAGCGATATTTATCATCCGGTGTTGGGTGAGACCAGTCTGCGGCAGGATGCGCATTGTCGAATCGACTCGGAGCACTTGCGCCTGTACATGTCTCAGGATACCCTGCCAGCCTTTGTGTCATTGGGGCAATGGCTGCAGGACACGTTGGAACAGCAACGGCAGCAGTTTGCGGAGGTGCTAGAAAAGACCGATTTGGTGGAAGGCCTATCGGATGAAGCAGACGGTCAGGGGCAGGCGTTGTTCGACAATGGCTTGCCCATTGTGCCTTGCATCAACGGCACCGTGCACGTCGCTGGCGATGAGCTGCTGGTGGTTTGCTTTGGCAACAGCTTTTTGGATCGCGACATGTTGCAAGTTGGCATCAAAGATTACGTGTACACCTTTAAGCAAGAGGCATGCAACAGTGAGGCCGACGTGCAATACACGAAGCAGACGTCTGCCTTGAAGATTGGCCATGCGGACGAAGAGGGGCACCTCATGGTGCGGCTGGCCTCACGTCCTGCATCCGAGCGCGTGCACCAGGACATGTTGCCCTTGGAGTGTTACAGCATCGCCATGATCAAGGCAACCAATCTGCAGTACATTTTCGACTATCCCAAGTGTGACATCCATGCCATCAGCAACGTGCACTTTGATGGCAACCGCTTGGTAGAAGGCTTGTTCGCGGTCGTGCCGTACAAGGCCGTGTATGTTAACGTCGATCCTGCGGTTTACCTCAAGCTGCGGCAGGTGATATCCATGTACACAAGCCGTTACAGCAGCCGCTTGCAACGTGCGGCTGGGGCGCTGACGACCGAGGCCATGACAGCGCACGCCGATGACTGGAGCTTTGTCTGCTTGACGTGGGCAGAGGCGCCCGAGGAGTTGCAGCAACTGGCACGGCGAAGGACGGGCAATGAAGGCGGGGCAGCCTCCTTTGCCAAGCATGGATCGTGGTGCGCCTTTGAGTTGGACTTTACAATGAAGCAGGTCTTGCCGACCAATTGGTTCTTGAATAGCCTGATTCGCGAGCCCCACGACGACATCAACCGGTTTATGGCGGTGCACGTTCATGCGCAGGCGGGACATGTTGTGAATCAACTGGCTCAAATGTTGGCCAGCTTGTCGCGCAATGACACGCGTCGGGCATCGGCAGTCAGCCGCGATTAGACGTGCGCTTGTTTGCCGGGCGCTGTGCGCCAGAAACAGGATAGAGGGGGGATTCCATGTGTCGTTTCCAGACGGCGAATTCATCATTTTAAAGTCCTGTTTGTATTCCTCTGGGGAATGTTGTTGTCTTCACAGTTGAGCCGGTCATCAAAGAGGTTCGGGATTGAGAAGAAGAGTCGATTGGGTGTGTGCACCAGTATGACAGCGAAGACAGATCGCGGCGACCACAGGCAGCACGCAAGTACGCCGCTGGAAACGGGAGTATGAACACAGAACGAGCCAAGACTTGGGCACCGCATCAAAGCACGGGCAATTGACCCAACTAAAGAACAAACGAGCAGGCGTTGGTACAAGCCCCAGCCGCGGCGGCCAAGCTTTAAAACAGACTTGTCGCGCAGAACTGACTGGCCCGCCGCACTGCGAGAAGGCGTGAAGTAAATCACCACGCGGGTACAAATACAATCAAGACATGTACAATCCTGGATCGCGTTCCAGTGACATGGAAGAGCAGCATCACACACCAGCAAGATTAATAAAGGCGAGTTAAAAAACAAAAAACAAAAAAACAAAAGATCCACACCGAGAGACAATATAAAAATGATGAGCCCCGTTGGGTTTAAGGAACGGAACAAAATGTAACAGCGCAAGTACAAGACACTCAAAATCAATCGCTCAAAATCAATCAAAATTAAAATTGGACAAGATACAAGGCGAGAACGAACAAGTGCAAGTAGGGGATGGCAGAGCATGCACAGAGATAGGGACATGCCCAATGTCGAGCGCGATGCAGTTTTCAAAAGACCGACAAATCGGGCAGATCCAGGGCGCCGACAGGCTGGAGCCACGAGGTTGCATCGGGCAGGCGGACTGGGGGCAGCGGACTGGCGGGAGGCACTTGTGAGACGCACGACGCGTTGGCCATGAGTTCGCTGTGGAAGGCGTTGGGTGGGAAGGCGTTGAGTGTGGCGTTGAGAAGGGCATCTGTCTCCTCGGTGTTCAGGAGGGGAAGAAGCGCGTCTGATGCGGACAAGACGGGGGAGGTGGCTTCAGCCAGCAGGTCCTCGACGTCGGTCATCATGTCGCTGGCGGCATCAAAAGTGGTGTCGGCAAAGGTGGCATCGGCAGCAGTAGCCCACGAGGCGGTGGCCAGGAGATGGTCAGGCAGGGGCGGGCGGGCCGTGGCTTGGCGAAGGTCGGGGGACAGGTGTGCGGCCCCAGTGGCGAGGGGAGGCCCGACGCTGCGCAACTGATCCACAAGCGGCTCGGTGTATTGATCCTGGGGAGAAGGTGTTGGGCTGCTCGTGTCGAAGGCTGTTGCCGACGATGAGGACGAGGACGTTGTGTTGGTGATGGCAGCGGTGGTGGTGGTAGTGGCGTGCATGGAGGCACGACGTCGCTTGCGTGAGAGGTTACGGGGGCTCTTGGCGTGAAGAATCTCTGAGCGGTGATCAGGGTGGAGGCTCCAAAAGTTGCTGCCGCGTGTGCCTTCTTGTCGGACAAAACATTTCTTCATGGAAAGGTTGTGACGAATGCAGTTCTGCGGAAAAGGGGAGGGGCGGAAGCCGAGGTTGGTGAGTGGCCGCGCAGGTGTACAAGGCGAGCGGCCCTTGACCCCGCATCAAAACCAAACAAAACCAAGAAAACCAACAACCAAACCAAACAAAAAACCAAATGCCTCGTACCTTCCACCAGGGCTTCCCGTGGCGAAAGTAGGGGTATCTTTCTTGCACCCATTTGTAAATGTCGGCGACCGTGGCACGGCCCTGGGGGGCGGCGTCAATGGCAAGGGCAGCGAGTTTGGCGTAGCTGAGGGCAGGCTTGCCATCTTCTTCCTCATCAACATCGTTGGCCTCGAGAACGATGGTGGCGCTGCTGCGATGGGGCGGAGAGCCGGGTTCGGTAGGCGTAGCAGCAGATGAGTAAGATGGGGGTCGTACGCCGGGTTGAGCTGTGTTCGGCAGTGATGGTTGATAGGCGGAGGCGCCGTGGGCACTGGCCGCAGAGGAGGAAGGGATGTCAAAGTCGGCACTGGACAGGGTGGGGAAGCCATCACCGGCAGGCAAGGGTATGGTGGACATGTAGTTTTCGGCAGCGGCAATAGCGGCGGCGGCGGCGACACTCGTATCGTCCTGCCAGTTGGCGGCGGCAGCCATGGCAATGGGTGCAAAGCGCGATGGACAAAGTCAGTGGGGCGCTGTCGTAGAAAAGTAGTTGTTGAAGTGAGCCGCAGCCGCAGCCGCAGTGGTAGTCGTAGAAGCAGGAAGAGGTAGGAGAGTTGAGGGGAGCGCCCGGATAATTCAAGTGAAAAGGGCGACCTGGTGGAATTCCAGGCCACAGCAGTGTGTGAAGCAACACCAGGGTTACGACATCAAATCGCCTCAAAGGATCGAGGCACCAAAGGTACGCGAGTCTGCCACCAGAAGAAATCAATCAATGTGGTGGGCCGAACGGCAGTGTCGGGCAAGCAATCAGGCGACGAAAATGACAGGAGGGAGATCAAAAGCGCAGGAGAGCGCCGGAGTTCACCAGGGCAAGCAATCAGAACAAAACGGTTTGATTCCGTTGCAAAGGGAAAAGAGGAGAGAGAGGGAGAGTAAATGGCAGCCGGCCAAAGGTGCGGTGGCAGCGCCAAGTGTCACGGAGATTGGGAAGTGGTGGTTAAGCGTGTGATGTGTGGATGGAGATCCGAGACAGGGAAACAGGGAAAGAGAAGCCAATGGAGCTGGCAATCAAGCAGGAGCAAGATGAAACATGGATCAAGAGGTGAATGCATTCAAACCCCCGCAGCGAAGATGGAAAATACCCGATCGAAGAGCAGCCCGCCGCCAAATCCAGAGGGCTGCCATAGAAAAGAGGAAGAAAGAGAAGAAAGAGAAGAGAGAGAGAGAGAGAGAGAGAGAGAGAGAGAGAGAGAGAGAGAGAGAGAGAGAGAGAGACCAAAACAAATCTCTCTCTGTGATCAGGGTGTCCCCAATTCTTTATCCACACAAGCAGTCAAGGTAAAGAGAACAACAGCAACAACAAGAACAGCAACAACAACAACAACAACAACAACAACAACAACAACAACAACACACTGAGAGGGCGACAAGAGTAAGATGCGCTTGAAACAGCGACTGGCGGCGCGGCCTTTTTTTTCGCAAGCCGGAGGAAGATGCCCAAAGATGTAGAATAGGAATTTCTGATCGAGGGGCAGACCATGGCTCGCCAAGCCACCATCGCTGCCAGCGCCGAGCCACCAAGGACCTGTGCTCGACCCCCTTTCTTGCTTGCTTACGGCCCTTGACTGTCTGTACCGCCTGACTGACTGACTGACTGACGGCAGCGTTCCGTTTTTGCAGCAGCAGCAGCAGGCAGCAGGCAGCAGTACGAGTTGCCTTGCTTCTGACCCCAGGGTTACGTGTGTGTGTAAGTGATGTTGATGTTTTCTGTGTCTCTCGCATCAAGTGTGCGTGGGGACTTGGTTTTGGTGTTTTGAGGGTGTGTGTGGGTTGATGATCGTCCAAGTCACGGTGTGCCACAAAAAGTGGGGTTTGGGGATGTGGGTTTCACCTCTTCCCCCAAGCCATTCCCTGCTCGCACACTTTCCGAGTGAGGTGCAAGTGCTTCTAAGGTTGAAAGGACACACACACACGCCTCTGACCTCTGGCGCACACCACTACCAAAGACATTCACCGGGTCAGGAATGATGACGGCTCCAAGCAGCAACGATGACGTTTTCTTGTCCCAAGACTTGGTGTTCTTTATGGGTTTTGTGGCGATCATTGCTTCGTTTGCGGGTGTTAAGACTTCTGCAGAACAACAAGTGTGGTGCAGACGTAGCTGCGGTAGGGTAGGTCACGGTTGATTCCCGTGTTCTGTGTGGGTTTGTGTGATGTGTTGCATGGTAAATCGCTTTGTCGCAGCCGCGAAGTCGAATTCGAATTCGAATTGAACGACCAACTCTTGGCGCCCTCCCACTTGCCATTTGGACGTGCTGGCCCTTTGTGGCGTTGGTTGTTGCTTCTCTTGAGCTGGGTTGCTATCGGGGCGCCCCCTGCCATGGCTGGTTCTTGTCAGAAAGGGCAACCTGAGACATCAACCCGACCACGGCCAGTGTAATCCTTGCTCGGAGGGGATAAGACATGGGTACGCAACATCCCCATGCCGAGAGCACAGGTGTGATGTCCCACACCCATTCTTTTCTTGCTTATGTTACCCCCCTTTTTCTCAAAACACACACACAGACACACACACACACACACACACAGAGACACACACGATATCACAAAGGACAGACCCCTTACCCCCCTTCCTCACGCTACTCCACCCAGAACCTAGGCTTGATTACCTGCTTCACACAAGAGTATACCATCCAAACGGCGCGAAAGTCCCAAACTACCCCAGTTTTGGGGGTCTCCAAACCATCCATTTCTGGGTAATAATTCAAGATGCAAAAATCACCTCAGAATAGTTACCAGCTAAATATAGAAGATACTGACAACTTTGCTCCACATGCTCCTTTTGCTCGCTACCAGCCGAAGGTCCCACCGCCGCTACCACTCGTCAGTCTACCGCTGCTCGCTACCACCTGTCATTCCATTTCGGTTTGTCAACCATTCTCTCTCTCTGTCTGTCTGACTCGCAACCACTGGTCGCCTTGCTTTTTGTTGTTTTGTCTGGCGCGAGCTTGTACTCCTTTTTTTTTTTTTTTTTTTTGGCGGCCCTCCTTTCTTCCTCGCGGCCTGAGCCAGGCTGTGTGTATCTTGGTGGAGGTCGTGTACCATCCTGCAGATTCAAGGCAGTCAGCATTACTGTCGTTATACGTTGCTCTTCTTGACGAGCTTTGACCCCCGTTTGCCAACCCATCTCCGCCATCATGGAGCCCGCACAACCCGACTGGGTCACCGCCGAACACTTGACCGGCGTACGTCAGCGCAGACCCCCTGGTGCCCGCCGACTCCGCTCGACACAGCTCACTTTGACTCGGAAGCTCAAATGCAATGTCAATCATCCACCAACTCGGCACACCGCATGCGGTCCATGCCTTGCGTGGGCTGCTTCTCTTTGAAACCTGTCACTGGCTCACCTGCACCACACACGGCGGTTTTTCCTTGCCTCGCCCTTGCTACGTGCGCAGACGACCATCATGGCAGTGGAGTTTGCTGACGGCGTGGTCATTGGGGCCGACTCACGCACCACCACTGGGTAGGTCAACCACCTTTGAGTGGCCCCAATTACGCGACAAAGCATCGACTTTTTTGGAACCGCTGATTATGCCACCTCACTTTGCGAGCGTCGGATTTTCTTCCGGTTTTTTTTTTTTTTTTTAAACAACGTTCTTGAGCTGCTTTTCGTGTGCTTTGGCTATTTTCGTATTTGGTCGTTTGATATATGCACCCATCCTGCTGCTTGCAGTTGCACGAACTACACTGACCTCTCTGCCCCTGTCTCTTTGCCCTTCAAGCTCATATGTGGCCAACCGCGTAACGGACAAGCTGACCAAGATCACGGACAACATCTACTGCTGTCGGTCTGGCTCGGCGGCCGATACGCAGGCCATTGCAGATATTGTCAGGTACTACCTTGACCTGCACAGCATGGAAATGGACGAAGACCCCGAGGTCCACACGGCTGCCTCCGTCTTCCGCACCTTTTGCTACAACAACCGTGAATCCCTGATGGCTGGCATCATTTGCGCCGGCTGGGACAAGAAGAAGGGCGGACAGGTAATAGATACCTCGACCTCTCCCCCTCGTTGTCCGATAAGACTGACGTTTGACGTCTGCAGCACTTTGCCACCCACGATGCCACCCATGCTCACTCGCTCCCCCTATCCCTTTTTCTGACGATCCTTGATTGTCAGGTCTACTCGATACCTCTGGGTGGTCTGCTTGTCCGTCAACCCTTCTCCATTGGCGGTCAGTCTGCGTGGCTGTGCAAAGCTCCTCCAAGGGTGCAACGCGGCCCGTGCGCCATTTCTCATTCGCATCATCGTTGACGCCTTGCGTCTTGCGTGGGTTTGCTGGCGACAGGCTCGGGCTCAACCTTTTTGTACGGTCACTGCGATGCCTCGTACAAGGAGAACATGACCAAGGATGAGTGCCTCAAGTTTGTCCGAACAGCTTTGGCTTTGGCCATGTCCCGCGACGGCTCCTCTGGTGGTGTTATCCGCACTGCCGTCATCACCGAAGCCGGCGTCGAACGCGAGGTCAGTCGTACTGCCCACCAAAGCCAGATGGCTGAGATGTGCCATCGAGTCCAGCGTGGGTCATCCTCTCCGTCTCATGCCTGTCGTGAATGTCTGTTCATCTCTAGGTGGTCCTCGGCAACGAGCTGCCAACCTTTTACGAGGGTTAAGGCCCGCTGCGCGCTGTGCCACTCTCTCAAAACTAGTGTCATTAAGTGTCTCGACGTCTCCCTCGGTCTTTCCTGTGCCCTTTCTTGTGTCTTGTCCTCGCTGCCATGGCTGTGTGCTGCGATCACTGCGCTTGTATCGCGCCTGGGTCATGATGAGACGCCACGGCGTGGCGTTTGTTCAGGCATCCCAGTTGCAAATGAATCCAGACTGGTCTTCATGTCGTCTGAGCCCCCCGCTCGCAGTGTTGTGAAGCAAAAGAATATATCATAAAGGAAAAATAACAGCATAAAGAACAAGACACTAGATACACACGGCCTTGCTTTATCCTGAGCCTTTTTCCATGGGTGTGCAGAACGGTCCTGCCTTTGGCCATTACACGGTTCCGGCTTTGCTGCTCAAGCATTCGTTCGTGCAAATTCTTGGATAAGTTTGATTGGGTTCACATGATGGTGACACAAGTGTTGCTACATGTATAATTTTTTTTTTCATTTTTCGAGTTTTGTGGTATATCGCCCTGTCCTCTACAGGAGCGTGGCGGGAAGAGCAGTTGAGCAAAGGGCAAGATGTGGCGTCAAGGGATTGAGCAACTGCTGCGCGAATACTCGAGCGTTACAGCGCGTTTTATGGTTCTGGCCACGGCTGATGCAGCAGGCCTTCCCCACGCAAGGACTGTCGTGTTTCGGGACTGGGTCGACACCAATGCCTTTGCTATTGTCAGTGATGTGCGGCACGACAAGGTGAGTTGTGGCAAGAGTCTGAATGGCGCTTGTGGCCTTTTATTGTCAGGTGACGGCCTGCTGCGTACTATTCAGAGCGTACACCTTTTTGCGCGCGAACGTAGATCACTCAGCTGACAAACAACGCACGCTTCGAGGCATGCTGGTACTTTGGTGAAGCACGGCGACAGTATCGCTTGGGCGGCACGGCTCGCATTCTTGATGGGCAGGGAAATGCCACGCCAGAAGATCAGGCCTGTCGCACGCGCATCTGGCAAGGTCTGTCAGAGGCCACCCGCGCCCAGTACGCCTGGCCTACGCCTCGGGAGCCCTTGGAGCCCGCCGCGCTTGAAGCTGCCACAGCCCCTCCCGCTGAGCAAGCCGCGCCATCTACCTTTTGTGTCGTGGTTTGTGACGTTGACCACGTCGACGAGCTTCAACTCGACGCTTCCCCCGTCCCTAACCGCTACGAGCACCGCCGGATCGACGGCGACTGGACCCGCACTGCCCTTAATCCCTGAGACTGCCGCGACAAAAAAAGATTCAGTAGACGAAAACAGTCAATGCGATCTTTAATTTGTCAGATTAAAATTGACCGCGACACACCGGCAAGCTGCGTCAGTGTGACAATGTGCCACACATTATTGACTGCCTTAAGTTGGCTCCGCGCCTGCTGTGGTGGTGTGCTGGGCGCGGGGCACTGAGTGCCCGGGCAATTAGAACTCGCGACAGCGATTAGCCCAGACCGGAGCAGTCAGACTAAGAGCGCAAGCTGGACGATCAGCCTGCTGCAAAACGTGAACCCCTTTCACGGCGCGTCAGAGAAGGATGTCAAGGAAATCTGATCTTGTTTTTTCTTGACTGAGATCTCGGAGTCCTTATGGTTCATGCAGGCGATTGACCGCAGTGGATGGCGGATAGCGCACACCGTGCCATACAGATCAGATCCTCTGGACGATGCTGTTGCGCACAGGGCATCTGTACATACACCCGTCTGCGTGCGAGACGACGACATCCAATAGATTGCAATCGCTCCTATTTTGTTCGTCAGGAACACAAAAAGAGAGAGAGTGAGGACGGTGTGAGACAGTTGAGAGTTTTCAGAGTAGTGGTTTGAGAGTTTGAGATAGAGAGCGAGAAAGAGAAGAGAGAGAGAGAAGGAACGAAGCAACCATTTAGCATGATAGTGTAACACAATACACACTTACCATCTACCCTTCCACACACACACACACACACACACACACACACACACGTCAACGATTTGCTACTGCTGCTGCTACTGCTGCTACTGCTACCCCTGTGTTTGTTTGGCAGCGACCCCTGTGGGCTGTTTGAAGGATGGTAGTTGGGGGGTGTAGCATTTGCCGGGGTTGATCTTGCGGCGATCCTTGCGGTGGACTTGATCTGATCTAGTGTGCTTTGGGCAGCTGCACGACTTGCGCTTGCCTGTACAGTCTGGTGTCTCCGACATTTCTGCTGCGTTTTTGAGCTCACACTCGTGGTGACCTCGAGGTCTCCGCGCGGTTTGGTGTCAAGTGGCCTGGCTGACCTTGGGCGTTGGGCCAGCGCACGCCGACGCTTATACGCTGCCGGTGAACAGTCCGGCCTGTCTTCTTTGACGAGTTGAAAGGTGGTGGCTGATGGGGACTCAACATCTGCCTCGTGTTGTTGGACTCGGGTAAGTCACACACCCCACCTCACTCAGGCGCGCCGGCGCTTCTTGGCGTCCCATGCATCCGGGTCAAGGGCATCGGCGCCCTTATGCCTCGACCAGTGTCACTCTCTGGCCGCCCTGTTGCCTTTGTTTTGTTGTGTTCACCTGGTATTACCTCGCATCTCAATCCGTCCTCAGATCACCTTGCCCCTTGTTGGGTGCAACGCCCAGCCGTCCCTTGCTTTGGCATTGAGCCCTGTCAGCTCCCAAACCACGGCAAAGCACTCAAGCAAGCGGGTCGACATGTCAATGCCGTCCTCCACGCAGGACGGTGCTCAGGCCATGGCGTCGCCGACTACAACCGAATATACACAATTCCTAGAGGTGCCCGAGGATGAACTTGAATCAACGCAAGGACCATCCCCCAACACGCAGTTTCCCTCCATTCTTGATGCCAAAGAAGGTGCGGCCTGGAAATCGCGAGGTTCTCAGCACAAGGCGGGGGTGGGGTGACGGCCCAATTTTCATCCAGTTGTGCTTGCCACTGCCAACACTCACCGTCGCCTGCCTGCACTGTTTCAGCCGTGGGCCGCCAGCTCGATCGACGCCGCACCAAGGAAGAGCTTATTCAGCGCAACATCATCCGAGGTGAGTTTTGTCTACCCGGTTGTCTTGTCATCAACCTACACAAGCTCCTTTGCTTCGCAACACTGCACCCCCGCCTTTATCACCATGTTCTTCCTGTGTACCCACCACCAGATCCTCCCAGCCCAGAGTCTGTCAACAAGCCGCGCTATACCAAAGTGTCTGAGACGCTCCAAAAGGGTCTCTCCGCACGACCAACACCACAGTTCCTGGAAAATGTTGGCATTCTCAAAAGTGTGTTCCCACCCAGCGCGCCTTCTTCAATCCCAATATTCTTAAAACCCCTTCCTGTGGCGATTGCCCTTCCTACTTTTCTCGGCTCATCCACCTGGTGCTCAACTCGTAGCGTCGGTGGCATCATCCGTGGCCCCTGCTATTGCTGTTCGTCAGCAATTTTTCCAGCGTCAGCAAATTCAAAATGTTTTGCAAGACCACCTTGAAGCGCGCCCAGGACCGCTCGATTTGGTGGGTGCCCCCCTCCCCCCCACCACGCAGTGCGGATCTGTCCTCTCTTTACATCTCTCATCTCAGGCCACCTCCCCATGTAGATGTCGGCGAACATTCTGCATCCTCGAGATCCAATCCTGAACCTCCTCCAAGAAGAGCCCATTCACATGGATGTGCTGGGACACGATGCGCAAAGGCGTGCCGAGGCACCGCCGGCCCCACCGCTTCCGCCGCACTTTCACCACGCTGCATCCTCTGGTGAAGCCTCTGATGCCAGTCGCGCAGCCGCTTCCCAACGGCGCAGCTGGCAGGCCCGCATGTATCGCACCCCATCTGGGGATGTCATTCCCATTCAGACGCCACAGCGAGGTGCAGATGGGGCCTCAGCCGCTGCACGACGCCCGGTGGCGACGCGACCAAGCTGGTCATCTACCGGCGACGCAGATCCTACTTTTCCCCTGACATCCGATGCCGGCCTGAGCTATGCCGATCACACCGGGCAGCCCTTTCATCTGCAGTTTCAGTCTACCAGCGTGCCTTTGGAGGACGCGCCCCTCAGTTTTGTACCCTCTCACTCTTCAGCTGAAACCTCTTCAAACGGTCCCGCCGTCTCGCACGCGGCCATCACCTCGAGTTCCGGACCCAGCTACCACCACCATCACTCTCAGTTTTCTGTTCCAGAGGCACCGCCCAAATCCTTGCACGGCCACCAACTCCCCGCTCTGCATCCGTCAGAGCCGGAGATGGATACTGAGCTCGATCTCGAACTGCCCTCACCATCCTGGACGCAACCACCCCTCGTCGTGCAGTCCACGGCCGTGTTCAATAAACGGCCAGAGCATCCGCACATTGTGCGCCATGCCATCGAACAACACGCCGAGAGTCGCTTGCTTGAGGGCAAAACTCAGGGCCTTTTGGAAGAAGATGAGCAAATTGCACAGGTTGCCGCCGCGCGCATTCAGGTGAACAATCAGCTTACAGCTGTACAACGGCGCTCTTCCTTACCCCAGCGCAACCTGCGTGAGCGGATCTATGCCCAGCAGCCCCAGCAGCAACGCGCTCTTTTGCACGAAGAGCTACGCGAATTTCAGCAGGGAACTGCCCTCCCGCAACAGCACGTCAAGAATCGACTCAAGGAGCACCGCATCAAGGTGAAAAAGGGCAGTGGTAGTCGACCTCGCAAGGAGTTTAAGTTTTTTGAGATCACGCCTGAGGACATTATGAGTATGGGGAGTATGGGGCGTCCTCGGAGTCGCAGCCGAAGTCGCAGTCGTAGCCGCAAGATGGAGCGGTCTCGCTCTCCAAGCTTGCACGGCCGTGCCGGGCGTTCCTCCACCACCTCCACTCTTCCAGCCGGCGCTGGTGCCGGACTCGTCGGCACCATGCCATTCTCTCACAAGGCATCCACCAATGCACTGCGCCAGCAAGAATACTTTCTGCAGCTCCAGTCCATGTACAACCAAGATCAACAAGGCTCCCCTTTGCGACACCTGTACGTTGTTCTCATGTTGTCCTGCACTCCTTTGTTCACACGTTGGCGTGTCATTTTTATGCTGCATGTGTGCTGGCTCTTGACTCACGCTCACGCTCTCTTGACTCAACATGGCTCGCCAAAGCAGGACGAGCACGCGGAGCTCACGTGCTCCCTCAGCTCAGGGTCGCGACTCACCCGCAGTCTCGGAGCGCGGGTCCTCGCTCTTGGCTTCGCCGCGCCGAAGCGGAGGTACCGGCCTCGAGTCGGCAGAGCTTGCGTCTACCCGCGACTCAAACCAAGCCGTCGGGTATCACGGGCATCAGAATGTGCCTCATCATGGTGCGCCTGGACATGCGCGCTCAAAGTCCTACTCCGGCATGCCCTCTGGTTTTGGGCACGGCTTTGCTTTTCCCACAACCGCCAACTCGAGCCCTGAGAGGCGCGGTGGTGCCCCTCCAGAGCACTCACCCTCAAGCGGTCCCACTTCGATGGCCGCAACACCCATTTCCGAGTTTACAATGGCTTCCCCGCCCACCTCGAGCACGGCTCCACCTACGGTGCCTACCTCCCTGGCCAATGTTGAATCGGCTTTCTCCTCGAGCGCTCAGGCGGATGCTGCTGCCCCCCTCGTGCCTCATGCGCCTGACGCTGATGGTCGTGACGGCAAAATCTCGAGTTCTGAAACAGCATTTGATCTCAGGGCCCTATCTTCCGCTCAGGATCATGATCTCATGCCACTGGATCTGGACATGGGTCACGAAGAGCTGGGGTTTGATGCAGATTTGGAGGAATTTGACTCACTGGGCCGTATGGGCATGCCCATGACCCCCGATGCAGCGGCGACACCCATGCCCATGGTCGGCACAACGGCGGATCCATCAGCCAAGCTGGGCGTTACCGACTACGAACTGCATGATCTTGGACTCTTTCTGATTGAAGTTCCGGCCGGTGCCAGCTACGGAGTCGGACACGAGTTGGTCTTGGATTTTCTGGGCACGGCCAATGCAGACGCGCATGGTCAGGAGCGCCCCGTGTACCGCTGTCGTGTACCGGCCCCCGGCACCTTGGTGCCTTCCCGTCATCTTCCAGCGTATACGTCGGTGGTGCAGGAGGATGGGGGATTGTCTCTTCCTACCGCTGCTACGCCTCTTGGCTCTAGCTCGAGCACCGAGCACTTTGGACTTGGGCACCAGGTGAGCGATTTGGCGCAACAGCACATTCGTCAAGGTGAGCATCAGCACCATTCCTATCTTTATGAAGAACAGCACCAGCAACAACAACAACATCAGCAACAACAGCACCAGCACCAACAACATCAACAACATCAACAACATCAACAACATCAACAACAACAACAACAACAACAACAACAACAACAACAACAACAACATCAACAACATCATCAACAACAGCAATACCATGCGCCACAGATGCGTCATCATCGTGCCATGTCTTGGGATCCAGCTTTTAACAAGCGCTCGTCGGTCGAGGTTAGTCTCTGCACATCCTGGAGATCAAATGCCGCCCATTAATGAGCAATAAGGTTATCTCACTCTTGGTTTTGGTCCACTATTAGCCCATGTATGACCCCGCATCCATTGGCCTGAGTATGGACCCGCATTCTTTTGCCTCAGGCCTCCAGACCGAGGACGGCAAAGACGGTACGAGGATGGCGTTGAGAGCTCAACTTTAAAATGCAATCACTTGCCTCTCAAGGTCAAGTCCAAGGAGCATCGGTTCTGACTCTGTGACCTGCTGCCATGCTTCTCATAGGTTACCATATCCATGCGGCGGCCTCCCACGAAGTGCATCAGACAGATGCCATGGCCTTGGCAAATTCTCCTTTCTCCTTTTAGGGCCAGCCACGCAAATAGGCCTGGCTGTGTTAGCACTTGTTGTGCAGTTTTTCTACGGATCTGGCTGTGCTGGAATTCAAAGCCCGATTGTTGTCGACCACGTACATTGAGAACAGGAGCAGTGCTCCCCCTTTTGACCTTCAAGGGTGATTCTTAATGTTCAAATCGATGCCATGACTCATTTACAACAGCAAGCCAAACTCATCTCAAAAAAACAAAAACAAAAAACAGTTCATCTCCCACCCCACTGGCCCTCCCTCTTGTGCCTCGACCGAGCCACCTGCTCGACACATATGCGGGTGACGCGCTCATAACCAAGCAGACGCTGCTATTTTTTTTTTCAAACTTGTGATGACAAGAAAGAGCAAAGTTTTGTGCAAGAGGAGGAAACTATTTTTTTTCCCCTCTGGGCACCAGCTGGTGACTGACTGGCCATTGTTGCCGCCACTGCCGTCACTGCGACGCTCGCTGTCGTTGCTGCCACGGCTGCGGCTGTTGCATGATCATGGACGTCAACGTGGAGTTTGGGGATCGCATCTCAGATGTGGTCGTTACCGTTAGCTTGTCCTTGGGAGCAGCGCTGTCGTTTATGATTGACCAGGCTTGTCGCACGACAGCCAGCGAGGTTCAGCTCGTCCAGGTTTGTTCCTCCACGGCTTGCAATAGCGTACGCTAGGATGCGGACAGACCTCGAGCCATGACAGTGGTCTGCGCATAGGGCCTGCAGGAAGAATCCATAGGAACAGCGTGTCGCAACATGCGGTCTGGCACAGGTGTGTGGCGAAAATTCACGGCTGCCTCCTTTAGCGTCCCCGTGACTTGGTCTGAAACGTGCTTGCTTGAAGGGCTCGGTGGTGGCTAAGGGCACTTGTGGCCATTGTGCTCGTACATGTGGGTTAGAGCCTCGATATGTGGCTGTGACCGGCCAAGTGCACGCCAAGACACCGCTGCATGGGCCTGCTGGCGAAGAGCTTGTGGTACAGTCTAGCCTCGGACCATCTTGACTTGGCTGTATTCCAAGTGGCGGCCCGATGGGACTTAGCACTGGCTGGTTTATTTGACGTTATTGCTTCCTTCCTGTGCCCTTTTGTAGGTTGTGCAGGCTGAGCACCTGCAGCACTACACGCAAAAGGGGTGCGTACCCGGCATCTGCGGTAGTTTGGAATGCGCCCACGAGTAGATCACCATTGGCTCACCGTTCATGATGTGCCTGACGCGCGTACACATGCAGGGTCTCTCGCAGTCGAGTCCTGCACAGCCAGCAAAATGTGGCGGCTGCCAGCCTGAGGACACCGCCATGGCCGTTTACCGCACCGGCCAGGTATGAGGGCAGCTCCTTTTCGAAGCACCAGGTATCGACAACAGCAAGCCCGGTCATTGTGGCTTGTTCTCAACCACGCCATGTTTCTGCTGCAACCATGCTTGGCAGCCTGGCGTTGCCCACCCTACGCGACGCCGTCCACGATCATCGAGTGGCACTCGAACATGTGCAGAGTGCTTTCTATGAAACTGTCCCGGCGTCGTGGGCATCTTGGATGTACACCCGGGTCTCTGGCAACGGCATCACGGTATGGTTTTGCGGCGATGGCATATTTTGTCAATGGAATCAGGCGTGTCACGTTTGCAAAGATGGATGAACCTTATCGGTGAAGTCATGGCGGGAATAGGGGTACGAAGAGCGCGTTCGATGGATGCCGCAGAATGCTGTCGTCCTCGGCTTGGGTGAGTTCGTTCCTTGAGCTCTGATATGTCTTGAAGTCAAGTTATGGGTCATCTCATTGTCCCTCTGATCTCCCCTGCTGGGCTTCTTGATAGGGCTGTTAACCATTCACAACGGCGAGCATGCCCTTGTTTCTGGGCCAAAGCTTGGCCTCACATTAACTAAAAAGACGCTGCAGGAGTATTTGAATGAGTGGGTCTTTGCCTTTAGGATCTGCCCGTATTCGTGTCTTGGATAAAGACGCTTTCATTCATGCTTTTGTCTTCCTACACCAATTAGCCTGTGTACAACGCTGGCAGTGCTCAAGGGTTTGCGCGTAATGTTTGTCAGCTCGACTGTGGTGCTCGCCTTGACCCTCGGGCGTCGGCCCATTTTCAGGTGTGCCTTGGCGTGCCTTTGGCCCGAGGCCATGGACATCGTTTCGCCTTTCTCTCCTTATTGATCTGCCCGCCTGCGTAACACCTCAACTCTTCCTGTCCTGGCGTACAGGTGGTGGCGGCGGTCCTATTTGCGCCGGGTTGTCACCCGCATTGGTTTGGGGCTGGGGCTGATCGAGCTATTACCAGAGTCTCGCGGCGACGACCAGCGCGCCATTTTTGCAAGTTTGCAGCGTGCTGCCGATGATGAAGCTGCCAATCCCAAGGAAGACGAGGTTGGCGCATCCCCGGTTACTTTAAAGCGTGCTCGTGGCAAGGGGCCTGATGGTTTGGCTCCACGTTGCATTGCGCCCCATCATGCGTGCTGTCATCTCTGTCGCCTCACTCTTGTCTCGACCACCGTGTTGCGCTTTATCAGAATCCATGCGTGATCTGCTACACACGCCCCAGGAGCGTGCTCATTTTGGTGAGTGTCGACGCGTTGGCCTCGCAGAAAGCATCCTTTGCCTACTCATGATGAATTTCGCCTGCATCTTCTGGGTATCTGATGCCGGGTGGGAGCAGCCCTGCAAGCACCTCTGTCTCTGCGCTACCTGCGCTCTGGAATACGTGGTAAACCAACAGCAGGGCTCGTGTTTGATGTGCCGCAGTCCGATTGGCCACCTGACCGTCGTCTACACCTAGCCCACGTGACATTGTCCAAAACTTTAGACGCTGAGCGTCTCGCCTGTGCCCGAGTATCAAATCTTTTGCGTCACAGTGTTGTTTGAAGCAAAGCGATCCGAGCTGGCATGAGCTTTTGTGAATACATGCATGCATCTCGCCCGCATGTCGTGATTCCAGCTTCAAGAGCCCAACCGATCTTGAAATCCGCTCAAATGACAACAACAACAAGCAAAACATCAACAAACAAAACACAAACAAAACTTTGATTTTATTATTTTTTAATGAAGATCGGGGGGGATCGCCGAGCGGGAGCATCAGGAGCGATGGTGGCCCGTCGCGTGGTGCTGGTGTGGGCCTTGGTGGCTACGGTGGCTACGGTGGCTCAGGCAGCAACAGTCATCAACTTCAACTACGGCTGGCGCTTTCGCTACGGCCCCAGTCCGGACGGGGGCACTGGGCCCAATGCTCACTGTGACTATCAAGAGTACTACAATGGTACCTACACGTGAGCGCTCGCCCTCCTGTGTGAAGCGTGGGGGATGGCCCTGACCAGTGTTTGCCCGAGGCTTTTCTCCATGGCCTCATCAATCGTATCGGGCAAGCTCGAAACTTAAAAACTCGACGATGCTGACATCAGATTCACATGCCCAGGTGCACAGATTTATATCCCAACCCCAACCGCATGAATGATTATGATTGTGCCATGGCCTGCTGCTACAACCCAGACTGCTATGTGGTACGTTGGCACTGCCGCTGATATTCTTGGCCGAGGCAGCTATCATGAGCGGATCTCCTCACGGCAGCCTCTTTCAGTGGCGCATCGATGCCAGCAACCGCCGCTGCTATCATGGCGGTAACACCTCGACCTGTTCTTTTAATGGCACGGCCGCAGCCCTGAATGGCGGTCGCCGTACATCAGTGCCTTCCTTGCGTACATCCTATGACAACAGCGCCGAAAATCTTGATGATAGCGCCTGGCAAACTGTTGATGCTCCCCATGATGTTGGTTGCCTCGTGAGGATTGCGGTAGCGATCGCCTGCAACTGCGACCGTCGCTGCCAAGCTGCCAGCCAGTTGATCTCATCCTTCGCTGCGTTGTCTTGTTGCCACTTTGCTGCCTTGACATTGCTGTGTGTCGCCATCCTTGTAACATCTCGGCATAGTTTATCATTGAGAACGCACACTTCTCACCCAACAATGACTTTCGTCACGGCTCGTTTGAGCGCAACGTCAGCTGGTATCGAAAGCATTTTGCTCTCAGCTCCGACATGCTCGTCAACACCTCGGTGTTGCTCCGTTTTGAGGGGGTCTTTCACTTTGCTCAGATCTGGCTCAACGGCGAATATCTGGCAGCCCACAGCTGCGGCTATACCGAGTTTACCGTTCCCTTGCACAACGCATCTTCCGTGCGCACAGGTCACAACGTTCTAGCCGTGCGCGTTGACGCATCCTATGGCAGTGGTCATTGGTCAGTGCCCATTCGCCATGTCTCTCCTCTCTCTACTTTCTTATTGCAAATCCAAAGCACCTTCTGTGCTCTTCTGTCTCGTGTATATGCCCCGACATCATGGCATGCTTGTTCAGTCAAAGCGATTGTGCTTTTGTCCCAGGTACGAAGGAGGCGGTTTGTACCGCCCGGTCCAACTGGTCATCGCCCCACGCATGGCTGCCATCGTGCAGGGTGGCTTCTTCGTTGATCCTGAAATCAGCCAACAAGCCGTGAGGGCATCACTCGAGTTTGAGCTGGACCAAGGCGTGGATGTCAGTCGGGTGCAGGCGCTTTTTGTCGTGAGCAAGTTTGATGGCACCGTGTTGAGCACGACCAGCTGCTCTGGCTCGAGCGCCGTGGCGACGGGCAACTCCCATACATGCCACGCTTTGTTGAATGTCGCAAACGCAAGCCTATGGAGCATCCAGCGCCCAACCCTGTACATGGCCACGGCCACGCTCCTCTTGGACACGGTTGCAATAGACAGTGCCAAAACGCAGACGGGCTTTCGTTTCACTAATTGGACGGGTGCCAGTGGGTATTGGCACAATGGTGTGCACTTGAATTTTCGTGGCTTCAGCAACCACAACAGTTTGACTGGGATTGGCGTCGCCATGGCGGATCGTGTGAATTTGGTCCGCATTCAATCACTGCGTGCACTTGGCGCCAACAGTACGTCTCCCGAGCATGGCGTTGCGTTGAGTAGGCCAGCCCGCTAAAAAGCACCTCCAGCTTTATGCCAACTTTTGTGAACTTTGTTATCGCGGTAGTCTGGCGCATGAGCCACAATCCGTATCGCAAGTCGCTCTATGACATGCTGGATGCTGCTGGCGTGCTGGTTTGGGATGAGAATCGTGACTATGGCCTTGAATATGTTCAGGTATCCCAGCCCCTATGATTCTTTCGGCACTGGAAGAGCACGCGGGCCTCACTTACGCAGTACATGGTAGGAAATGCACGATATAGTGAAGCGCGATCGAAATCACCCGTCCATCATCGTGTGGAGCCACTGCAATGAAGTGGAGTGCGACCAAAACGATAACCGAACCGGAATTGCATACTCGGCGCAAGCTCGAGCCCTTGATCCATCGCGACCCCTGGCAGCCAACGGCTTTACAGCCGCCTTGGACGTACAAGGCTTCTCACACAGCAAGAACAACACCTTCATCCAGTGGCATGCCGAGTATCCAACCGAGCCCACGGTGCTCAGCGAGTGTTGCAGTTGTACCTCCCAGCGCAATCCCGCCGAGGATCGTCTCATCAGCTCGTGCATCCGTGATCAAAACTCACCGGGCCTCCTACCCTATGTCACGGGTTCGCTCGGAGTGTGGACGCTGACAGACGTGCGTTTGGACTCGAATGTGGGCCATCCATTCGTTCGTGCCTGGCTTTGATACACACTCATGTTGGTGGCCATAGTACTATGGAGAGCCCGCAGGATCGTACCCCAGCATCAGCTCCAGCTTTGGGCAATTTGATCTGGCCATGTTTCCAAAGCAGCACGTAAGTTTTTGCTGCCTTTTGCCTTTGCTGTGCGCGCCTTTGGCACAGATATACCGTCCGTGTCCAACATCCTTCGCAACCATCCGTTCACTCGCAGCGCCAACCACGACAACAACAACCACGACTGAAAATCTTTTTGTAGGCCTACTGGTACCGCGTCAATTGGCTAGCCATGATGGACACCACAGACGCCGGGCGCCCGCCCTTGCCATCGCTGGATCTGGTGCACGTGGAGGATTTGCCCAATTATATTCAAGTGGACAATCGCACAGCCACAATCAACCTCATCTCTTCTCTACCCTATGTGGAAGTAGTGGGCGACAATCACTCCTCCGGGATTCAGGCCGTGGTGGTCGGAATGTCCAATGCCCTGACGTTGCCCGTCTCCAACAAGCCTGGAGGTTGTGACTTTCCCATCTTGGCAACCACGCAGTGCCACGGTTTGAAGCAAGACACGATTTCCCAGAGTGCATCGGCGTGCGAGGCAGCGTGCTGCGCTGAGGCGAGCTGTTCCATTTGGCAGTATCAAGATGGCTCGGGTTGCTGGCGAGGCGTGTATGAGCCTGCTTCATGCTACAATAGCAGTCGGGCTAAAAATCTTACCTGGGTTGGAGCGGCCCGCACCGCGCCCCCGGTGTTTCAAAGATTAGTTGCGCGCGGGTATGATCAGCAGCATCAACTGCGAGCTGAGCACACTTTGGTGGGCCCCATGGCTCCGAGCCAACTGTCGTTGGTGGTGGATGCACCCGCGGCCAGCACGGGCACGGGCACGCACCTTTACTTGGACGGAGAGGACACGGCCATGCTGCATGTGGCCCTGCAGGACGAGCAGGGGGCGTTGGTAACGCTCAGCTCCGCGAATGTCTCGTTTGCCGTGGTCAGCGGCCCAGGCCGCCTGATCGGCGTGGGAAATGGTGACCACATGTCCCTGCACAACCCCAAGGCGCAAAACGCTACCACCTACTTTGGCCTCGTGCGCGCTTACGTGCAAGTGACGCTGGACTGCGTTAGTGCCCACCGTGGCCTTGTAGCCAATGTACGTTGCCTGCTTTGCTGATGCCCCATCTGGTTGCACGGACTGCCTTTGGCGGCTGACTCAGCATCAACTTCATTTGAAATTGTATCCATCATTGTGAATTTAGGTGACGCTCGATCGCGGATTTGTGGACGTGGACGTCGGTGACTGCTCGGGCGCGCAGGACATTGTTGTGGAAGCCAGCGCGCCCGGCTATCCGAGCACCACAGTTCACATCCCCGTCTCATCGGACGCTGTACATGCCCCAATCCAGGTGGCGCGGCAGCCCTTGAACTACACCTACATGGACCACGACTACTAACAGTAAATAGCGTTGTCCTGGCCGTGTGAGCGGCCTGCTCGTATGGGCGATAACCTTGGCCCTGGGCGTCATTAGAATTGATTTTATGTTCCTGTAACAGCCATTTGCAACACAACACCAACAAGAAAAAAAAAAAAAAAGAAAAAACCAGCCATCCATGCTCACCGTTGCGATCTATTCGACAGAAGCCCAGGATGCCACCCCAGCGACCCCTCGCTCACCGATCCCCTCGCTCGCACCGCGCCGCCCTCCACATGTAACCTCGACGAATTGTCTTCAGCTACATGTGTATCTCAGCGAAGACAGAGAGAGAGAGAGAGAGAGAGAGAGACAAAACAAAAGGCATCAACAGCAAAGGGAGAGAAGAAAGAGATGAATTGGTGTGTGTGTGTGTGTGTGTGTGTGTGTGTGTGTGTGTGTGTGTGTGTGTGTGTGTGTGTGTGTGTGTGTGTTTTGTTTTATTTTTCTCTTTTTTGTCTCTCTCTCTCTCTCTCTCTCTCTGTCTCTGTCTCTGTCTCTGTCTCTCTCTCTCTTTTTGATCATCAAGGTGTGTGTCGGAGACGTGATGCTTTCAAGTCTCGCGCGGGTGATGTGGCGGTGCTGTACTGACCTTGAACTTGGCCATTGGTGGCAGGCAGCGTGCGCTTTGGCGTGAAGAACGGTCTTGCGCTTGAAAGTTATAGTCACTGGAAACCATGGAGTGGCTCTTTGGTCGCAAGAAGACGCCCGAGGAGCTGTTGCGCGAGAACCAGCGCATGCTCAAGAAGGCCATGCGGTGCGTTCTTGCTGCACCGCCCTTCTTTTCAAGTGTCTCTTGGGAATTGTGCCCGTGGGAAGGCTTGCTATGTGCCTTGTCTCATCTCTCAGTTGTGCCGTTTGTACGTTTCTTTGGGGGTGTCTCAGTGAGCTGGATCGCGAACGCACCGCGCTCGAGCGACAGGAAGCCAAGACCTTGATTGACATTAAAAAGGCTGCCAAGGCGGGACAGGTGGAGGCCAGCAAGATCATGGCCAAGGATGTCGTTCGCACTCGACGTTACGTGAAGAAGATGATCATGATGAAGACTCAGATTCAGGCTGTATCCTTGAAGATTCAGGTTAGTCTGGAGCCTTGCTCAAGCCCCTTGCGATGACAGTGTGTACCACACCTCTTCCCGTTTGCTCTGGATTTTCTGCATGTGGAGATGATGAGGTGTCTAACCGATCTGGCTCTGGCTTTGCGTCTTGGATTCTAGACCCTGAAATCTACCAATTCGATGGCTCAAGCCATGAAGGGCGTCACCAAGGTTTGTTGAATAAATGCAATCTTGCCTGTGCATGCGCAAGTGGGAAAAAATTGTTTGTTCGTTGGTTTTTGAGAGCCAGCCGAACCGGGGGGGATTTCCCAGCTCCCCCCTGTTCCACCGTTGGTGCTGCGCCAAACGTACACTTGTGGTGGACCGACTGTGCAATCTTCCACCTGGACGCTCTCACAGGTAGTGCTTATGCTCTGGTGGTGGCATTTAGGCCATGGGTCGCATGAATGCCCAAATGAACTTGCCAGGATTGCAGCAGATTATGATGGAGTTTGAGAAACAGGTAAGGGTGCTCGATTGCTTTCTGTCGCCAAGGAATGGCGTTCCTGGCAGCTCTGCCTTTTTTGTCTCATTCTTCCTCGACTTGGGTGTAGTCGGAGATGATGGATATGAAGCAAGAGATCATGGATGACACGGTGGACGAGGTCTTAGGCGATGAGGAGGATGATGAGGAGAGGTCTGTCCCAGAGCCCTCTGTCTGCGTTTGTCCTCGCATCCTTTCTTTCTTTGTTATGTTTTTCTATTTGTTCTACGAGATGGTCGTCTCATGTTCCGGTGCAATGTGCGTTGTTAGCGAGCAACTGGTCAACCAGGTTCTAGATGAACTCGGCTTGAACCTGACGGGTGAGATGGCATCGGCACCTCAGGCCATGCAACAACCCGCCCAAGCCGAGGCTGTGGGACCCGAGGCCGATCTGCAGGTAAGCTCATCCCACTTTCAAATGTGCGGCCTGCTCTGTTTCACCTCATGGCTTTTTGATGCTGCATTGTAGGCACGCCTGGATCAGTTGCGCCGCGACTAAGTTTGCAAAGCAAACAGTTACTTGTCAAGCTGTACCTGGGCTGAATTGGCCGTATCCTGTATGGAAGTTTGGTTATTGTTGTTGTCCTGAGCCGAATGGATGTTCGTGTTTGGTTCTGCGAAGCGCTCAGTCTTGAAATGTGATAACAATTGAAATGTCTGACATGATAATGTGCTGCTAGGCATCATTCGCATCATTCTCGCTTGCGTTCAACTGCTGGGTTTCGCGTTTGACTTTTGTCTTTCGTGGTTTAAGCAAGGTGCTGAAATGGGTTTGCAATTGGGAAACGACACGAGCAAACACGGGGATGATTGGACAAGGAGGGCGTTTAGTTGGCATCGCCAGCGCTGGCCGCCTCATCGGCCTTCTTCTTGTTGTTTTTCTTCTTCTTCTTACCAGCCTTGGCGCTCAGGTTCTGGGACAGAATCTAAGAGAGTTGACACACCAAGTGCAAACAAACAAACAAAAAGGGACACGTGTGAGCCGCGAGCGGAAGCACAGAGAGAGAGAGAGAGAGAGAGAGAGAGAGAGAGAGAGAGAGAGAGAGAGAGAGAGAGAGAGAGAGAGAAAAACAAACCTTCTTGATCTCCTCGTCCTCGATGCTAAACTCAGACTTGCAGGTGGCAGGGTCAAAGCCGCCAGTGGTGATCTTGAGGTTGCCGTTGGGCATGAGCAGGGTGGTGACGCGGAACTGGGCCACGTACTCGCCCTCCTTGTCAGCCATGACCTCCATGGGCTGGATCAAACCGTGCTCGACGCACTCCTTGACACCCATCTTGGTCTGGGCCTCGTTCTCAAAGCCACGCAAGGTGATTGCCATGGGCTTGTTGGAAGTCTTCTTCTGGACCTCACCGAAGAACTGGCGAGCATGCTTGAGCTTGAGCTGGTAGAGTTCTCCCGTGGGGCGGAAGACGGTGGCACGGTTGGCAGTCTGGCGCGCCTTGCCCTCGCCGGTGCTGACCAGGACGTCAATGGCGTACACCTCGTTGGCCTCGAAAGTGTGGACCTTGATGTCCTTGCGTGCAGCCTCTGAAGGGTTCTGGTTGATCGACTTCTCAGACATCAGCTCGTCGTGCTCCATCTGATAGCTGGCAATATCTGCATCCATGCCAATGCCAAGCGGTGTGAGTGAGGTACGTCGCGCGGTCACCGGGCAAGCGTGCGGTTGCAGCACGCGACAACATACCCTCAATGGCGTTGCAGTTGAAAGTCTTAACAACCTTCTGGATGGCAGCCGTGACATCGGACGACTTGTTGCCAGGCTTGATGAGGCGGGCGGCAACCTCGCAGGCGTAGTAGGCCGCGAGGATGGCATCGGCCTTGCGGCCAGTGACCGGGGCGGCGGCGCTGGCGCCAACCACGACGGTGTGTGCGTTGACCACAATGTAGCCGTCCAAGTGCAGACCCATGTCACTACGCAAAATTCACAAAACGAAGAGAGAGAAAAACAAAAACAAAAACGGATGAGATCGATGTGTCTGTTCTGAGGCGAACCCAGGCATGGGTCGGGTGGTGGCCGGGTCATGAATCCAGGGGTGACTGACATCTTAACGACATCTCCAGCCTTGAGCTGAGTGGGCTTGTCCGACTTCAGGGGCGAGTAGTTGAAGAGAATCTCGTTGATGTTGATGCAGGTAGGGAAGGCAATACCCTTGGGGATGAGCTGACCCTCAACCTTCTTGTTGAAGACGGTGCCGACCTCCTTCTCCATGGCGGCGTCACCAGCCTCGCACAGCTCGAGCACCGAAGCGCCCTCGACGCAGAGGGAAGCAACATGTTGCAGTGCGCCTGAGGAAAAACAAATAAACCACCCGAGGGTCGATTCTGTAGTGAGAAAGAGTGCATGCGCATAGCCTAGGGCGGGTGGGGGGTTAAACGCACGGTTGAGCATCTCAGCGCCCATCTTGTACTTGGTGACCACATCAGCCTCCTCAAGGCCAGGGGCCCGCTCCTCTTCATAAGCAGCCGCCATCTACGAAGGAAAGAAGAGGAGAAGAAAAAAAACCAAGACCGTGCACAGGGTGAGTCGAATGCATCTTTTGCTCTAGCACGAGGGCTCTCCCGCAGATGAGGAAAACGAAGAGAAGACAAAAGGAACAAAGGACAACACACTGCCCCTGAATCACCAAGCCAAGGGGCAAGGTAGCCAGTGCATCAAAAGCAGGCAGCCATCATTGCGATGCACGCTGCGTGCACTCAGCGCCCAGCCTGGAGCTACTCCAGAGGCAACTCGTGGTCACCACGCACGCCCAGCGACCACCGCAACACAAAAGGGCAACGCTCCACAGGTCACCCTGGGCTCCTGCTTCATTCCTCCACAAGGCTTCTCTCTTGTGCCGTGTCACATGAATGCAAGAGCTCACCCACTGGCTGCCCTTTTTGCCAAGAGGCGGGGCGGGAGGGCGCGCAGTGACCGCGACTTACTGTGTTGGTGTGTGTGTCTTCAAAAGGGAAAAGAACACTTGAAACCGCGTTGTCGACAGCCACACCCCGCTCGCGCTGATTTCTCTGTCGCTATGCAGGAACTTGCCACGGTTCTCTGAGTTTACGTGCGGATCCACCTCTCTCTCTCATTTACGTTGATTTTTAAACGTTTTGGCGTTGGTAATTTTCTCATCTCTCTGCAATTGATCGCGGTTCAGCCTGGCCCTCTTGCAGGGTGCCTTGCCCTTGTCATGCTCTCTTGGTCCGTGTGTGAGGGGACCGCGTGTGTGGTCTTGATGGCTGATCAAGTGCAAGTGTGATTAATTCTACACTTCAACATCATCTCGCGGCAGTCTCGACCAAGACTACGAATCTGTGAGGAGACTGGACAAGACTCGTGGAGACCAAAAAGATGGAGCGTAATGTCAGATTGTCATCATTTCGGCTTCCAATGGCGGCGCGCGAAGCAGCAGCAGAGGCGCTGGCGCCGGAACGGCGATGGGAGTGGCACGGTGAGTGGCATTGGGAGTGGCATCCGGGGCCCAGGCAGCTTGCTGTGGCTACAGTGGCCATTTATTTTCTCTGGTCCTGGCTTCAAGCGGAGTCCAACCCGCCACCATGGCCAGAGGAGCCCATCGTGGCACACAACGCGACCCCCCGCGTTCCGACTGAGGATCCTCCCCAGGACGTGAGAAGCGCTGCCAGCTGGATCAGCACCGTGTTCTGGGGGGCGGCGTTGGCGCTTCTTGGTTGGACAATAATGGGCATCTTGGCGGGCAATGGTGCATTTCGCGTGAACCTGGCCTTTGCGGCGGGCCAGGAAGCTCGGGCCCGAGCGACCGAGGAGCAGCGTCAGCATGCCGTGCGACAGCGAGCTGATCAGCAGGTGGACCTGCCCGTGCGCCCTATCCTCACGCCGGAGCAACTGGGGCTGCGTGTCTTTCATCCTTGTGGCATTGACCTCGATGTGCTGACTTTGCCCGACGTAGCGTCGCGCGAGCGTCTAAACCTGCATTTTTCCAACGCCAACGAGCATATCCAATCTGACCCGCGCTGGCAGGAAGCTTTGCACACCCGGTCAACCCTGGGCGGACCCGCGCAGGGTGCAGAAGGCTTGACGGGATCCAATACAGCCCCCATCCATGAGATTGAAGACCCAGGCCCTGGGGTGCTGCTACTTGCCCTTCTTGTTACCCCTCGATGGGAGGGGGCTGTCGCTCAACATGGCGTTAGCGCGCTACTGCTCCAGCTGGAACGGCCATCAGCGGGCGAAGCTTGGGCGCTGGTTGGCACGCAAGTCCGCCTTAACAACGGACATCTGTTGCTACCCCAGCGCACCTTTGCTGGCACGGATGAACAAGTCTGCATTATTTGCCTGGACGAGCCAGCACGGGTGATTTTCCGCCCCTGCCATCACCTCTGCTGCTGTGCTGCTTGCGCCCCCTATGCTCAAGGGGGCTGCCCCATGTGCCGCCAGCCCATCGAAGGGCAAGTGACCCTCAATCTTCCAACGTCGCCCGCTCAGACTTGACTGGTAGCAATGACAAAAGGCCGCGCGCAATGACTGGTGGGAAAATAACGAGCCATTCACCAATATGATATCCAAAATTTATACAGGCCAAACCAGTAACGACAATAACATCTAACCCTCGACACACAGTTTGCCTGATGGGTGAAGAAGAAGGAGGGAAATCCCCACCCCACCATGCATCATGGACAAAGGGGGCTCGACCAAGAAAGAATTACACGTTTTTTTACCTTTCAAAACAAAACGAAAAAGTGAAAAGGAAAGAAACTCAAACGACCATAGAGAGTGGAAAACACAGACACAATCTGAGGCATGTGCCAAGAAAGAATCGCGCTTCGGCTTGCCTCAAGTGCAGGTCACGCCCCCGCGTCCGGGCAAGGGTCTCAAGGGACATTGCAACTGAGGCAAAAAAAAGCAAACGGCCATGCGCGACCAAGGTGGGTCACATCACCTGCGTCGCAGCATGGTGGTGCGCAACACCTGTTCGGCCGAGACGGTGCTATCGCTATCGCTATCATCGGCTTCTGAATGCAGGTCGCTGACAATGCGATCGTACGCCTTGAGGGCATACAGGCCAAAATCGCCGCGGTCCTCGCTGCAGCAGGTCTGGCCAGTCCGGTCCCAGGAACAACGGCGGCGGTGGCCTTGGATATGCTGGTAGGCGGGGCGGGAGGTTTGGGAGCCACGCTCGGCATCGACAGCATCGGGACCCAGAGCCGAGTTTGCCTCGACGGCCTCGATGGGCTGTTCGAAGAAATGGGCCAGAAGCTCAAAGGCAGGCTGCGCGTCAGTACGCCAGGCACCAAAGGTCCATTCCAAGGGCACGCCAAAAAAGCCGTGGCGAGCCGGGTAGATCTTGCAATGCACGTCGAGGTTCTTGGTGAGAAGCTTCTCGTGGGCGACAACGGTCGAGTACACGAGAGGGTCTTGCGAGCCGCCGATAAAGAGGGTTCGAGGGAAGCGTTCAATCTCGTCAACAATGTCCATCAGACAGAGTCGGTTCTCAAAAACGTTGCTTTGGCTGGCATACAGCTCGAGGCAGCTGGCAATGCCACCTTCAGCCAGGAAGTTTTCAATCATGGTAATCTGCTTGAGTTGGCGACCACGCCAGCTCGTTTGATCCAAGAGGCCGTACAGGCAGCCTAAACGCTCGATGACGGGGTAGGACCATGACTCGAGCTCAGGGCGTGCCGTGGCTTGCGCAAAGTCGCGGCGAAGTTTGTCGTTCATGATAATGGCCGCGGCCATGGAGACCAGGCTGGCTCCAGCCGAGTCGCCAAGAACCACCACCCGCTCCACGCCCTCGGTCTCCCTGATCCAATGCAGGCAGTCTAGAACGGAGATGAGGGCAGTAGGGAAGCGGTCTTCCGGGGCCAGCGGGTAGTCCATGCTGTAGACGGTAAAGCCGCGACGGACAAAGCTGGTGACGGATTGCAGAAGGACGGCCGACGAAGCAAACACAAAGCCACCCCCGTGGGCGTAGAGCATGTGGCGGCAAGGCGCATCTGCAAGCTGAGCGGCGTGCTCCTCATCGGGCTCAAGCTTGTGCAGCTGCTCCAGGCGGTGCGGACCATATGGCACACGCTCAAGCTTGGCAATGCCAGACGCCAGGCGCTTTTCATCATGCCCAATGGTGCGGGGGTGGTGAAACCAGACCCGCCATTGGAACCAGGTCCAGAACGTGTCCACCTGAGCACGGAGGAACCAGACAAAGGCCGTGGCCAGAAAAGTGCGCACCAGACGAGGCATAGCCCCGATACACCGAAAGAAAAACGTGAAACATTCCCAAAATAGCTGCCAGAGCATGTCGGGCAACATCTCGGCCAGCAGGCCATAGACGCGTTGCAGGAACATGGTGCACGTTTGTGGCGGTCGTCTCGCTGTGAGCGCGCGCGGTGCGACCCCAAGCTTGTACCACCTACCAAGAAGTCAGCAGAACAGGATCATCCCAACCCAACAAGCACAACGACTGTATGAGATGAGGCTGCCAGACCATGCGCGTACCAAGCCCCGCCGCCAAGGCCACCAGTGGCACGTGCAAAAGACGTTGGACTGCCAAAAAGGCGTCGCTCGGAGTCGGATTCGGAGCGTACCCAAGAGAAGAAAGAAAACACAACCCTCCAAAAACAAAGGCCACAACAACAACTTCTCAAAATATCGCTGCATAAACTCCAAGTGATATTCAAGGCTTCATATGTTAATAACTGCGATAAGTTTGACTTTTGCTCCAGAAGTGACATCCCGCCCCTTTTAAGGTTTGAGAAAGGGCGCCTTGAAAGATGCTTAATGTCGAGAAATTTGTACTTGTTGTCGCATACCGTATGGACTGAACGAAAGCTTGTGTTGTCAGCAATACACTTTCTGCAGCTGAAAGGTGACTACTTGGCGCGCATTTTGGACACCTTCTCTATCTCTCTCTTCTCTCTCTCTCTCTCTCTCTCTCTCTCTCTCTCTCTCTCTCTCTCTCTCTCTCTCTCTCTCTCTCTCTCTCTCTCTTTTTAAGATGCAAATCGATTTTGGGTGGAGGTCGGGGCTAAATGATGATGGGGCGTCGGTCTGGGGGCAGCTTGCCTTCCTGACGCAGGTTGGGTAGCTCGGTGCGCGTGTGCCACACGAGAACACGGTCTAGTTCAAAGCCGAGGGGCTCTAGCTCGACACCCTCTGGCACGACGGCGCTCAAAAAGTCAGTCTCCAGATGGCCGTCCAGAGCGTGTGTGGGAAAATACACGTCGGGTTGTGCGGTGATGAGGCGCGTATTCAAGGCAAAGGCAGCCATATCCACGGGGTACTTGCGATCGGTCGCCCAGGCCACATGCCAGCCGGATATCCGAGGTCCATTCGGCCCCATGTCCACCACGGGCCCTTCATATGAGAGTCCCCCCACAAAGGCTACACGCCAAACGCCGACCTAAATTCAGCCGGCCGTCGCAACAACGCGTGAAACAACCGCTCTAATTCATGAGAGACCACGTCTTGACGTTCCCTCTTAGAGCGTCCCCTGCCCCGGACATGCCCTCCCGCCATCCCACAAGCATACCGCCTTGATGTGGCGCATGCGCTCGAAAATTTCCAAGCTGTAAGTATTGTCATCGTCGGCAAAGTACACCACACCATCCCGTCCACCGTTCTATGAAACAGGTGAGAGCGTCAGGCCTCGCCTCGCGCCCATGACACCATTCCCTATTCCCTAGAGAGCAGCAAATCAATGGGGCTATGCTAAGCGGCCACCGACCAGAGACAAGAGGCGGCGCAGCTCCACCAGCCCCGTATTCCGCTGCTTCACGCCTCGTGCTGAAGGCAGCTGCAAAGCGCAAGTGGGAAAAAGACAACCACGAGCTGATTTGAGGGTTGGCGACCGGCGAGGGCATGCTCGGTGGACCGCAAGGCCGTCTCTCTTCAGTCGCTGCCCGAATACAACAGGTAGCAGTCACACCTGAGGCTTGCCAATCCGATACTCGGGGCAACCACGTTGGCTGTCAACCTTTCTGCAAATTTGTGCATTTTCTCGCGGTGGTGTGAGGGCCACCAGATGTGAAAAGGCCACCTCGCAGTCGTCTGCAAGCCAGACATAAACGCGTCAGACATCACTCGTGCACAGGCGCGCTGTGGCACCCAGACTGGCTCGATCTTACTTAAAATCCGCCGAACTTCGGGCGAATGAACTTCGGCGTCCTCAACCACAATCCAATGAACTTTGGGTACCTGCCGTATCGTCTGCGAAGTCGGCCACCCGATTGGGCACAGCAATGAGGGTGCGGCGGCAGGGGCCAAGGTTGAGGATAATAGTCACCACCTCAGTGGCGGAGATAACGCGCAGCTGATGGACCCCTGCAAGAGCAGCAAAGGGGTTCCAAACAAGCCTTACGTAGCAAAAGCGTGTCAAGTCGACATGTTGGGACGAACGCGCATACGTCGGTGTCACCAAGTAAATGGTGGGCAGGGCAGCCTTGGCCTGCTCTTGTTGCTGCGCTACGAGCTCGCGTTGCTGTTTCTCCTGATGCAGTCCGTGCCATTGTCCACCCAAATCCAATGTGAGACAGGCAGGTGCAACACATTGACTCGACGCACTGATCACAGACGGAAAGAGCATCAGAAGCGCACAGACGGCTGGTGAGTATCCAACCTGCACCAAGCTGGCGAGCGATGCCTCGATTTCTGTACGTTGCAACTGTGAAGGATTAACACATGGGCAGGCATGAGGCAGGGGGTGAAAGCTGGCAAACTCGGCTCCTTCAGCCCTGCCCTGCAGGCACGCCCTCCTCTTCTTGTGCCAGCCCATGGTACCTGGCACACGGCAAGGGACTGCCGAGTTGAGAGCCAGAGTGCGCCAACGACGAGCGCGAGCAGAAGTAGAGCTGCCGGGCCAGGCGCCAACAGCCGCCGAGCCCTCCGAAGCAAGGATGGCACCTCCTGCATGGTGCCTTCTTCAAACCTGCTGCATCTCATCCGATGTCAGCTCGCAGCCTCCTAGATCCGCCCACGGCACACACGCACTTGAGCCACCCCTGCGCTCCGCCGGGCAAAATCTTCAGAAATGCCCCCATCTGCTGCAGTAACTCCAACCCAACGTGCATATTAAGATTAGCTCATGACCCGATATTTCTACGTTTTCCGGTCAAACTCCAACAACATCTTTAAACGGCTTAACAATGATTTGCATATGGATGTTAATTTTTTTTTTTCTTTTTTCTCCCCATATTTCAAATTTTTTTTTTCAATTTTTTCCAATTTTTTTCAATTTTTTTGACACAAGAAGAACCGATGAAATGGACGCAGACGACTATCGGGAGAAGTTGCGGACCCTTGACCGCCTCATCGCAGAGCTCAAGGCTCAAGGCGCGCACAAGGATACGAGCGAGGAAGACCGGGTGAAGTAAGTCACTGTTTGCCGGCTGTCGCGACTTGTGCTGCCAGCTCATGAAGGTGTCGTGTGATGCGATATGACTGACGCGACACTCTTGCTGTGAACGGTTTGCAGGTTGCAGGAGGAGGTAGCGCTTCTCACGGGGCGCAAACACTCCCTGCTGGTTGAGCGAGATGCGTCCTTGGGTTGGTGATCGATTGCCCGGGGTTAAGAGAAAAAAGGAGCCCAGGCTGGGGCAGAATTTGACTGATGGGGTGGCCAGCACTCGAGCGATCGGAACGGCAGCCCTCACCACCGTGCCCGCTCCACACAACCCCAAAGGCGCGGGCGTACCTGCCCTGGATCGGCCGCACTTGCAGCACGGCTTTGCGGGCAAATTGCAGCAGTATATTCTTCACGGCGAATTGTATGTGCGCGGACTCCTCGCGCTTTTCTCGGCTCACGCGGTGGTCGCACCGGGCTGTGAGAGCGCCCTCACCAACTACACTTTGGATGCAGGCGAGCATTGCAGCATGAAAAACTGCCCGGTCTCTATGTGCGCCCACACCCAACAAGTCCCTACTGTATGCTTGGTCGCCAACTTGCTTTTTGATGCATGCCAAATTTGTTGGCTGGAGGGCCATGTGTCATCGCTCATGCCAGCCCTCGAAATCGCGGCGCTCACTGGCCCCATGTCTTGCTATAGCCTGGGACGCCGTATATTTTGTGCGGGAGGGCATCTACCGGGGTGGCATCTTCAAGCTGCGCCTCCTCATTCCTCCCACTTACCCCGACAAAGTTGTCCCGGTGCGTTCCTCTCACCCGGGCTTGCCATGTCACATGCAGCGGGTTCCTCACACCATGGCTTCTTCGGGTGGGACTGATACTGTCTTCAGCGCATCTTCTTTCAAAGCAACGTCTTTCATCCTCGCGTCAACGACATCACCGGCGAGCTGGACATGAGCCGTTACTACGTGAGCTGGAATCCCGATGTCGGTAAGGTGTCGCTCTATTTCTCTCCTCTGATATGGCTGTGGCTTGGCACCTTGAGATGGTTTGCCTTGGACACTTTGCTCACGTGTGTGCGTGCACACACGCACGGGCACATACCGTTGCCGTGCCCAGACCGCTTGAAGCATCTGTTCAAGTATGTCCACAAGATGTTTCGTAAGATCGATGCAGACAACGCCGTTAACGAGGGTGCCGCAGCCATGTAAGCGTTTCACTTGAAACCTGTTTGCAACACTTGCCATGCCTCCCCTCGCTACAACACCCATTCTCTTGTGGCGAGTGATAGTGGCATGCGATGAACGTTTAGAGTTGTTGCATTTTTTTTCATGTTTTTTTTTTCCCATAGGTTTCGCGTATCCATGGAAGCCTTTGAGGCGCCTGTGCAGCGCTGTGTCAAAGCGTCACAGGCCACCGCCCATACCCCTACCGGCAACAGGTGAGTCTCGAGAAGGCCACAGCCATCGCCCCGCTGCTGAATCCACGTCTGAACAAGGCCTGCTTGTGTTTCCATCGCTTGCACTCCTTGCCTTCACCTGCCTGACTCGCGGGGCTGCTACAGCATCGAGCTCGGCCACAGCGATAACCGCGATGGCATCATGCAGGCAATCAAAGACTACATGCAAAGCTTGCGCCAAACGGCTAATCCAGACGACTCGCATAGCGCTCGGATACGCGGGCGCCTCGAGTCGCGGCACAAAAGCCTCACCAGCGCCGTCCTCACCGAGCGCATGGTTCAACGTGCCTCTAATCTGGCCTCGGTCGAGAGTCTTGATCACGTACGTTCCAAGCCGAATCATTTGCCTTGCTCTGTTGGCTGAGCGTATCAACGCACTCATCATGCTCGGCTGATAGCACGCCATCACATTGAGCACCTACTTGCGCCATACCCTGGGCGAGGCCTCCCGAACGACGGACGTCCGGTACATTTAGCGTGAAGGCGTTATGCAGTGATTGTTTGGTGACGTGCTTGTTCTGTAGCACGTCGCCTCACCTGCCACATGCGGGACACGCAACCTTTGCAGATTGGGTGACGATGCTTGTGCAGGTTATGTCACATACTTCACCGGCGAAGGCGCCAGTCCGGAGCGGCGGTGCGTACCAGCCTGACTGCTATATCATCGCCACTAGCTTCCTGGGCACTTCTCGCCCCTGCTGGCATCAACATCCGCTGACCTGCTGCCTTGACCGGTGCTTTGGAACACAGCTGGTTGTTTCTGTCGGAGTCTGCAGGTCATTTGCGGTTGTACAAGACGGAGCGAGAGGAAGATCTGATCACGGAACTGGCGACGCGGGACGTTTGTCGATGCTACGAGCCTGACTCGACAACGCAGCGTGCCTCCAATGGTTTTGTGGTGCGTGCAATGACTTTGCCCGTGCTGCTGTCTACGCTTTGGGCTTTGATGCTTACTCCTTCCTCCCTCTGTCTCTCTCTCTTTTGTGCGTTTTTGCTGCACCCATAGGTGGTAACACCCGACATGGTCTTGCGCTTGGGCGCACTATCCAGTAACGGCCTGCTGGTATGGCGCAGCGCCATCCTCCATGCCTCGGCATTTGGCGAGCCGCGCATTGGCCACGAGTCCACATGAAAACTCTTTGGCTGATCTCGTATGCAACTGGATCACCAGTGGCCTGTTGCGCTTGATGCTGGTACTGAAATTGATGCTGGTGACCACTGGGACGGATGAATTCGAGAATGGTATTGGTGCAATCAACTTTTTATTGGTTGCAGCACTATGAACATTGACCACGTGAGCATCATTGGGTACCGGCCCGTTTACGCAAGAAGAGTCGGGAAAGCTGATCAGCCATGCGCACGGCTTCGGGAATCTTATGCTTGGCTGTGGCCAAGGCGAGCTTAATGGCTGTGTCAAGACTGGCACCGACCCAAGCGCTCATGAGCACAGCCCTACACCGTGAATGTCGATGGGGGTAGGTACCAACCTGACGCGGTGGCCAACAGAGACGTAAACAGGGTTGATGGCAGCTTCAACGCAGCGCACAGCCGCACCCCTAGTGCCAAGTGTTCAGGTTGTGAGCGCAAAGCAAGCAGGAAATGGGGGTTACGCGACTGACGGGTGAGATATGGCCACCGACCAGACTGTTTGCGATGCGCCAACCACCGGAATCCAGTCGCCACGGTGCTGCAGCTCTGCCCGTTCCTTGGCATGAAAACTGCGAATCCCCGTCACGATGGCTAAATCGTCAGCAGCGCTGCATCTCGATAGGGCAGGACAGGCATGGAGGAAAGGGCGAAGAGCGGTCTCAGCGGCAGGCTGCATACCTCTCCTTGTCCAGATTGTCGACAACCAAGATGTTCTTGCCAATCCCCACCGTTGGTAGGTCCAAAAGAACTCCGAGATGGCAGGCAAGGCCAAAGCCTCGGTAGTGCAGCTTGCCATTGCCGTCCACCATGATAAGCTGGGGCATCAGGTCGGGGCGCGATGCCTCTAGGCGGCGCACCAACGTCACCAGATGATCGACCTCTCGGAATGCCAAAAAGCCAGGAATGTAGGGCGCAGTCAGTTGCACCATCATGGATTCTTCGTGCAGCACCTGCAGCAGGAGACCCGCATTGTGAGTGCCCAGCGCTTGCTGAAAAGACAGGAAGCTGGCCCAAAGACACACGGCCAGAGAGAGCCAGGCGGAAAGCGCATTGGCGAGCCGTGGATTCGTTGGTATTTTTATGACATGGTGGCTATGCTTGCACAGAGAGGGAAATGGGCTCTGTGGAGCGACCGTGACGGCTGACCTGGAGATCAGGATAAGAGAGGACCACCAGGGTCGCGCAGGCGTTGATATTGTCGCCCTTGATAAAACTGATGTCGACACCGCCCACCCGCTTGAGACTCTCCAACGTCCACTATTAGCAGAGCAAACCTTGGATCACACAGACGCAGACACACAAACGCGCGCGCTTCGTAGTGGCTGGAGTCAATCCCTGCTTTCAGGCTGTGGGCGGGAGAAGCTCTGACTGACCTCATTGTGTTGGTCGCGTTCGACCATCCGCTTCTTTAGTGTATCTTGTTCCTGTTCCCAATGCCGTAATTGGCTGAGCTCGGCAGTTACTGCCAGCTCCTCCCCGGCCGCAGCTGTCGCCATGGCGCTCGGACACAATCCGGTTCTGTAAGTGATGGCCGTGATGAGTGCCTTGACAGTCTACCATGCGCTCTCGCCTGATGTTGGACATGAAGGACACTGGTACCAGAAACGAGCATGAAAAATGACACATACACACACACACACACACACACACACACACACACACACACGTGCCTCACACCAAATCAGCAGCGGCGGCGGTAGCGACAGCACCTGCCAACCCCAGCTCCTTCCAGCAGCAATGCGAGCAGTTCACCAGCGGTCGTGGTCGTGGTCGGGCTTTGATCCTAAAATGGCGCCCCGTCTTGTTGATGCTGATAATTCCTTGCGAGTTGGAACCCCGATACACTTATTGTACCAAATATGAAGATTTTGGTAGTTTTATTAATATTTTATATTATAGTTTGTGTAGATGTTTATAGAGTAGATGCAACTGCTACATTACAGCTTTTTTGAGGTTTTGACACACACACACACACACACACACACACACACACGCGGGCGCGGGCGCGGGCGCGGGGCGCTGGTGTCATGGACCTGAACTCGGAACTGGCTCGGCGCTTGGCTGGCAACTATGACTTGGCGCTGCTGGAGCATTTGGAAGCGGTGGAGCAAAGTCTTGTTGGGCTGTCAGGGTTGACGTTGTGTCGAAATTTGCGGCGGCTGAATATCAACCAGAATCGCATTTCGGATAGTACGGCCGTTGCCAAGTTGCCTCGGTTGGAAACGTTTCTAGCTCGCGGGAACCGCCTGCGTACAATCACACCACTTCGCGGTATGCCCACCAGGCGTCCACCTTGTCCATGAGGCGTGTTGCTTCAATGCTAGGATGCCCTGTGGGCCAGGGCTTGGTTGCAGGCCGGGCTCCACTCGATTTTGGTCATTGTGTCACTTACCTTCTTCCTTGGCCATCGGCTCAGGTCATGCGACTCTCCAGCACTTGGATGTGCGAGACAATGCAATTGTCGACTGGGAGACCTTTGTTCAGGACTGCGCCTCTCTGCCACAGCTTCGTCGACTCGACTTTGCAGGCCTGGGTCCGGCTGAGGACCCAGCTGTGGCCGAGACTGAGCAGCAACTCATGGCGGTCTGCGCCAATCTCAACGTTCTCAACGGTAAGCCCAGGATCTGCGCGTGTACCGAGGGATGCGCTCCCCATGTCATGCGCGCGGTGCGCCCCGCCTAATGCTCAAGATGGATGCGGGATGCGCAGGCTATCGCATCAAGGTCGAGCTGAAGACGCCACTCAAAAGCGCGACTCCTCCTCAGACCATCGCGAGCCCAGGTACCTTCGTATCATTGAAGCGCGTCATACTGCAGCCTTGGGCAACCAGACTCGGGCTCGTAGCGAAACTTACCATAACCGGATGTGTGTATAGCTTGGGAGCCATGGCAGCCATCTGCCGACTCAGTGGGCGCTCTCGATACGAGTCCTCACCATGGTACGCACGCTCGACCCCGCGACCCGTTGAGCTTGGCCACACACGCCTCTCTTATCAGCTGCACGTCACCTTGCTGTTGGCATTTAATGGCAGCTCGGCTTGAAGCTGTGGCGAATCAATTTTCAGAGCTACGTGAAAAAATGCAACCCTCGTCTTGAGTGCCTCGCAGGGCACCCAGGCTCATCGTGCGTGGCTGGCAGCACGAAGATCAGAAGCAGGCTGTAGGAAAGAAAGGAGGATGGTTTAATGGTTTCTAAATGTCTCGAATTAACATCGGATGTAAATTAAGTTTTGAACTCAGCGTGCTTTGAGTTTCCATCAGTTGGAAGGATAAAACAAGCATGAGACTCCCCGGGGTTTGCCGTTTAGACCGCGCTTTCCTCTTCCTTCGGTTCCCCATCTTCGGCCTTGAGGTGCAACACAACTTGATCGCCCACAGGGCGTCGTTCCGGCTCGGTGGCCTGCAAGCTTTGCCACAACTAATCAACAGCATTGCATTGGTTGCATCGGTGGAGACCGAGGGCAGTAGGTTTCATGAGCACCCATGACCGTAATCGCAATGGCACAGTTGCACACAGTTGCACACGTCTGACCTTGAACAGCTGGGGCGCCCGCGAGCGCACGCCCTCCGGGAGTGCAAGGCGCGCTCCTCGCAAGATGGCGCGTAGCACATCTGCCTCCCGCACAACTTCAGCGTAAGGAACTTGTCCAAAAGTCCAGACCTCATACATTAGGACACCAAGCGACCAAGCGTCACTGGCCGGACTAAACCTGTCCTCTCGCAACACTTCTGGAGGCTGCCACCGTGTCGCCGTCTCCAGAAGGCCCCGTTGGCGATAATACTGGCCGCTGTCCTCATCCAACTCCCCATTTTCGTCCCCTGTGGCGCCCCGCAAGGCTCTTCCTGAACCCGATCGCTGCATGACACGGGCATGACCAAAGTCGCTGAGAACCACCTTTGGTTCTGTTGTGAGACCATTGGCATGCACTAAAAGCACATTCCGCGCGGCCACATCACGATGAACAACTTGCAACGAGGCCTGTTAGAGCACGAAGCACCAGAGTCGTCCGGTGAAAATACGCCAGCTCCACGTGACTGATAAAAGAAAATCCGAGATACCCGCGGGGCCACGCAAGATGGCTTTGAATCACCCAGACCTACCAAATGGGCCAGGGCAGACGCGAGCTGGCAAACAATGGCAGTCACAAAGTGCGCATCGGGTAGCTCTTGCCAGCCGCGGTGCCGCTGTAGATAGGAGCGTAAATCGCCCCCTACGCAGCCAACACAGCAGCAGATCAAAGTGAGACCGAGCACAAGCGCTGTGTGACATACTTAATTCCATGAAGGTGGGTTTGCAAGGCCAGGGGGCGGGGTGGTTTGGCAAGCGCTGACCTGCGTAGTATGAAATCACGAGCGTAGGCGCCAAGCTTCCGTCTCCTTGACTGAAAACCCCAATCACCTTGGCAATGTTTTCGTGCCGACAAGCGCCCAGCAGCAACAGCTGCCAAAGGAAAAGAGTGACAGAAATGAGCGAGGGCAGTGTGGGTTGTCCATGGCACAAAGGTGCAGGCCAAGCCCTCTTGCTTGCTTTGAGCCTCACGCCCGACTCTGCCCAGCACAATGCAACATCCCGCCGGCATTTTCATGCACAGCAAGACATTTTCGTGCCGTGTGCCTGACGTTGGGGCCCGAACTGACCTCGGAGATGGCCATGGAGACAGCCTCTGGTGTACTGCTCAAGGGCTCTTTGATGATAACTGGGGCGGACTGAAAGGTCAGCGCGCCCAGATAAATGGCGCCAAATCGTCCGCGGCTCAGCTGTTCACGAACATGCACTTGACTCGCGGCAATGCGGTTGGACTGCAACGACGTGACCGAAAGCCGAAAGATCAGACCAAAATGCCTCGCCTAGAGCCGCGCTCACAAAAGGTTGACAATACAGACCTGCATATCTGCGCACCAAAGCTCGAGGCGCTCAAGCAGCGGCTTGTGCTCTGAAAGAGCAATGCCGATGATGGCTCGCTCCAACACTTGAGCCGACGCGAGCCCACCCAAACCCTGCAACAAACTAGCATTCCACAAGCAGATACAGTGAGAAAGAGATGCTCGCATGAGCTCAAGAGTCGCCAGATGATGCAGCCTGATTGTTTCAGTCTTGGCTCAAATTTCCCCTCTTACTGGTGATGTTGACCTCGGCGCCAAAATACAACGCCGGCCACGGCCAAGATAACGCCCAGCCCGACGAGAGCTATGACAATGACGACGATGGTTTGCACTCTCTTTGCGTGATGGCTTGGGGAGCTGGCAGTTGTAAAGGTGCCAGCAGTTGAGTTTGGTTGGCCGGGCGTGGCGGATGTTGTGCTTGCCAGAATGATGGGCCAATCACTTTCAGAGGGCCCATTGTGCACGGCTTGCTTGATCAACAGATAAATGGTGGTTCGGCTTGCTTCCACAAAAGCAAATCGTTCATCAAGAATGGATGTCCAGACGATATCCGCGCGCGGACTGGAGGCGTTGGGTGCAGCGACAATGCGGATGCTGAGCGCATGCAAGAACCCCGCACATAAAGAGACGTAAAAGGGGTCGGTCGGATAGAGGTTGAGCAAGCCTTTGTACCAAGTGGCTTGCAGAATACCATTGGAGCACTGCTGCAGGACGTCCATGCCCTGCACCTGCCACAACTGAGTACAGTCGACTTCATCTGCTCCATTGGCGCAGTCCACGACACCGTCACAGTATGCCGTGGCCGTGATCATGGCAGGCGCGGTGCTGCTTTCATTCGAGCAAGGCAAAAGCACGGGCTTCACAACATTGCACAGAGATGTGTTACTAGAGGCGATGAGGGAGCGGCAGGATTGGGGTTCTACGCGATAACAACCCTCGGGCAGGTACACTGCTTCGCAGTCTGGGCTCATGACGATGGCCAGGAGATCTGCCTGCAACTCCCGAAAAGTGTTGCCACGCAAATCTAAGACGCGGAGTGCATGAAGGTTGGGCATGTGTTCGGGTCGCAATGTCTCGAGAATGTTGTGACTAAGGTTGAGGTAGAGGAGTTCTGGAGCTTGGGCCAGCGCAGATTGGCTGATCATGCTAATTCGGTTGTGACTCACGTCAAGCTCTTGAAGTTGTTGCAGCGCAAAAACATTGTGATGGAAGATGCTGCGAATCAAATGATGGCGTAGGGTAAGGCGCCGAAGATTAAAAGGCATGCCGCCGTGGGGCATTTCCCGAAGATACGGCTGGCCAAGTGTTTGAGCTCGGCGGCCATCACAGTCGAGGGCTGCAAACCCGTGGGCATCCCAAGTGACCTCACAGCCCAGGCTTTGATAAAAGGGGGAAAGTGGAGTGTCTGGAACGGTCAAAAAGACCAGTTGCGCGTTGCAACGCAGGGTTCCCCAAGGCAAGTCCTGCGGACTCTGCTGTACAATCTCGCTCGATGTGTTGAGCTGGCAGATGGAACCAATTTGCACCAAATCCTCCAAAGGTGGGGGCGTACAGGAGTACACATCACCAGGTCTGTTACTAAACTCGGTATTGTGGGGGTGCACAATCTTGAGTGGACAGCCAGGGAAAGCCAAGTCAGCCCCCTCAACCAAGGCGGGGCCAGCCCCGGATAGCCAGGTGCACGACAGAAGCACGGCGTACAAGACCCGCCGCCATCCTCGACGACACGGCCGCGCCTGTACCACAGCAGCGCAAGCCACCCCCATCTCCACTCATACCTAATCCAGCCTCACCTACGCACGCGGGCACACAGGCACGCAGGCACGCAGATGACCTCAAAGCCGAGCTGCGCCGGCACCCGCATCCGTGCTGCCAGTGCCACACACATTCACATGTCAAAAGAAAAAGAAAAAAAAAGAAAAAAGAAAAAAGAAAAACACACAGAACTCATCAAAAAAAAGAGAAAAAAAACTTTATTTTGTGTGTGAGTCATTAAGCTGATAGCTTGTGCTGGGAAGTCGTTTTTGGACAAACTGGCCGGGGGTTTCTTGTGTCGTTTGACTTGATTGATGCTATGGCCCCCTGCCAATCTACGTGATGGTGGTACATCCCACAAAAAAAGGGCAGACGGTTTGCGACCGTTTGCGGGAAACAATGGAAAACGGCAGACGGTCCCCAAAAAAAAGGGCAGACGGTTTGCGACCGTTTGCGGGAAGCAGGTCCGTAAAAGATCTAGCTTTAATTTTCTTCCTCTGGCTATTGAAAAACGAGACAGGTCAACGTAACGTCGTCCGGCCGCCATTGCAACAATGTCTGCAGGGACAGGGCACCATCAAGGCGCAAACGGAGCCCCCAATGAGGTCTGCTTCTTCGCGCGAAGCGTGCCATCCCTCTAACATGTAAAGCAATTGTGACTTGACATCGCGATTCACACTTGTCCAAAACGGCTGTTGATAAGAATCTTTTTACTCTGAGAGGGCAGTTGATGAGATGGCCAGCGTAACGTTCAAGATGACAACCTTGTGCAGCTGCTGGCGATGTATCTCATAGCACTCGACACACCCGAAGTCCCAAAACTCATGGCACAGCCATTCAGAGAGTTGCAGAGCACACCAAGCTCTCTTGCCATGGCGAGACTGTGGCGTGCTGATGCGCCTTGTTCATGCTCGACACCCAATCAAGGAGGCTCGACATAACAGCTGTGAATGTTTTTGGCTCAAAGCTGTCTTGAGAAGTCGGCTGCCAGGTCAGTCAATCAATCAAGAGCTATAAACACCGTAATTCTGACCGGGACCTGCGCCACACGCCATGCCCAAGTTTGACCGCGCGTGCATTGCGAGGTTGACGTCGTCCCGCGTTAGTAGATAGCGCCGACACTGGTGCTCTCACTCTCAGATCATCGGCATGGAGCTCACTGGGCCTCATGATTGCGTCTGGCTGGCTGAATCCTGAGCGGCATGCCGAGCTTTCTTAGGGTCCAACCTCATCCGGTATGTGTTTCGCTCCGCTTCCAAAAACAGCTGCCTTTGAAGATGCTATTTCTTACCCGAGTCATCCTTGATGTTTTGCGTGCGTAGACGCGCCGTGTATGCTCGAGCCGAAGGGGCCACACAACACTTTCAACTGGCATTATGTCGATGTTTAGCTTGACGCAAGGCTGATGACACCACTCATCGACTTTGACTTTGACGAGCCCACTGTGGACAATGGGCGGAACCGTGATCATTCGACACTGGGCAGCCTCAGACCAACAGACTCACGAGAGGGCATGATCCCATACCACCTCACCTGCTCCAAATGCACACACGCACAGCATTTCTAGTTTGGATGCCCCACATCGCGGGCCGAGCTTTGGTAGGGTCTTGAAAGACAATGGCTGTGGTTGGAGCCACACCGCTCTGAAATCTCAATTGGCCAATTGACATGTGAGAACAAATTTACCATCTCGGCTCAATTGATCGGCAATTGCTATCTATGCATGAGCTTGGCCAGGACAGTCCTGCCAGTATTTCGCAGTCCCCAAGAAATAAAACAAACGTACTATGCCATAGCACAATATTATTGAGTCGGTCAAACCCTGTGCTTCGCCTACGGCTGTTCAAGCGCAGAACGTCCCATTCTCGAGCTACATTCCAGCCAAGATGGCAGCCGGTGTTCCTCATGTGCCCATTCGAGGTACTATCGCGGTGAAATAGCTTTGAACATCCACAAGGGCCGTTGATGGTGCCTGAGTACACCATCACTTTGGCCCGCATTGACTGCGACTCGAGCCTCTCCTCTTTTGCTCCGCAAGCTTTGCTCGCTTTGCCTGCCCGTGTGTGATGTCACGGGCTGGCGGGGATCTGGATGAGTGTGCGGCGTGAGATTGGGCGTTTTTAATGTCGAATTGCCTACAGACGGGTTGGGTTAGGCTGCACCAGAAGAGGTGTAGTATGATCTCTCTATGGTCAATTCACAAAGCAAACAGAGGGGATAGAAACAGGAAAGGTACTTCTGGTCTACAGGACCATGCTTACATCTCGGTGGCAGGAACAATCCCAATGCTCTACAAGCGTCCTTGACGAGCGCTCTCAAGGATAATCAGACGTCATCCTGCAGTGGTTGATAACGATAACCGGGACTCGTATCTTCCAGTGTGTTCCAGCAGCTACTGGGCATACATCCATGCTTGCGGTCCGATACAAAGTGAGTTTATTCAAGCATCAGCCGATGGTTATTCTAGTTCAAGTAGCAAACGATGGCACGATTTATGATTCGAACCCACTTTGCGTCGAACGTGCGCCATTGTCCTCGCTAGAAATGACACTTCTTTTCGATAATCTTGTTGTGCACCTACAAGTGCAGCAGCCGTCCTTGCTACAGCTGCACTTGACTGTGTCGCATCACCTTGCGGATCATTTCTCTGCTCCTCAGCTGAGGCTTGACGTTGGCGAAAGCGCTTTGCTCGAAGAACACGTGTGCCGCTGCTGGGAGGACACTACATGGCGCGCTTTGCATTGGGTGGTGTTCCGCTCGAGGCCTGGCTTCCAGCTAGAGTCATTAACAACACACGTTGATATCTGTGAGAGCTCGCACCTGCGCCTGCACTCCAAATACATTGCATTTTAAATTCTCAGCAAGGTGCTTACGGCTAGCCAAACACATCCTGACCAGCCACAGTTGCACTTTGTGCCACGTTCAACCGACTGCCGTTGTGCGAAAAAAATAAAAATAAATAAATAACAAAAGAAATCGATGAGTCTTTTGAGCAGACCATCAAATTGGCTTCGGAATGATCAAAACGTGCCTCACACCGGCACGTACGATATCAGCTCATGCCGTGAAGGCAAGGTGCTAATGCCAAAGTTGACCTGACAGGACGTAGATCGAGCCCTGTGCACTGTCAATGCGTGCAAAAGCTGCTGGGCAAAGAAGATGGTATACATGCCGCAATCTGTGTTGTTTGGCTGCTGTGGAAGATGCGCGACGGGCCAGACTCCAAGACGCGCAGCGGCGCTTTTCAGTTCATCCCTGACATTGACGGCGCCACAAATTTCGTGAATGTGACTAGACACGTGGAAAAAAAAATCAACGAGACCGAGCCACACGCATGACGTTCAGCACAAGCTACTTCACCCTTGAGCACACCCATGCATGCGCACCTGCAGATGACTTCAGCAGCGGTGGCGGCGCTAGCTGTTCAGGATTCGAAAGCGTTGAAAAAGTAAATGACTGGCTGCCGAAGACTACATGTATTTCAAGCAAAGAAAGATAAATCATGGAAATGAATAATCACATCAACACGTCCGATTGATAAGCCCATCAGCATTGCACCATCATACTCAAGCTCAACCACGTGCCCTGCCATGTACTTGGGTGGAGAGCTGTGTGAAATGAGACGGAGCGTCGAATGATCATGAGAGGCTTGATATTCAAAGCACACGTTATGAGTGACACATTCAAATTCAATCCCATGCAGAGAAAGTGAGGGCCTTGCAGTCTGAAAGATCCGCAAGCGTGGCGAGGTCGCCGATGTCCTAGACGCACATGGTGGTGTGGGCTGCATGGTTGCATGGTTGCCTTAGGCAAGAATGGGGTTGAGTTTCGTGTAATGGCTTGTGGCAGATTGATGAGACAAAGTGTCCAACGACTAAGTTCAAACAGCCAAGGGCGCATCCAATCAAAGCAAAGCCACCCTTCTTGACACATGGGAAACAACAGACACTGCTTGCCAATCGAAACGTGTTTTTCCATCAGCGCCTTGACAGCTCTGCGAGAGTGTGGTGCACTATGTTTTCAACGCATACTGAGTCGCAACCGGAACAAACAACTGCTCTGCCGTAAGTGGTCGACGCGCATTGCTCGATGAATGTTTGTTGGATTCTGAAACTTACTTTCTTGAAGGCTTCAGAGGCGTCACTGTTCAGCAGCGCGCTTTGGTCAGCGAGTTCAAAGTTGACAAGAGTATCGGTCAGCCGGCGAGTTGGACCAGAGAGGCTACAATGCATATAATATAATGAGGCACGCTCCGCCACACGGCCCGAAACTTTCACATCAACCGCAGGACATCGTGGTCGCCGCTGTCGAGACCCAAAGATTGGCCTGGCTCTTTCTCCCAAAACGGGCAGAGACATTGTGTACTCCTCTCCAGGCCGCGCATACCCGATCCCCGTGGGCACGGTCGACGCCGCACGCTCGGCGTCTCATGTCGTTTCTTTTCTTGGCATGAATTGAAAAAACATGTCGATCGAATCAAACGAGATTGACAAGCGAAAAGTCGAGCAAAACGACCATCAAAGCGAAGTCGCCGACACGATGCGCAAAATAAGATAGACAAGGCCACGATTCACACAACCACCATCGAGAGAGACAACAACGCAAAGACAACCTCAACACTGACGAGCGAGCAGACCACATGCATGGGGAGCTCAATGGCAAAAGATTAAAGCGGCGTCAGAGGAAAGCGGTGCTGGCGAGGAGGGAGGGGAAACGGTTGTGCGCTCCACGGGCGCTCAATTCAAGCCATCGCAACCACAGGCGCTGCCGCGTGCAAGGCGTCGTCGTTGGCATCGGCGACTTTCTCAAAAGGATGTCGGAGGGGAATAATGCTCACTGGCACGTTCTCCTTGAGGACGGTGTGCGCGTCGACGCTGGCGCACTCAATGTAGAGCACCGGGGCGCAGTCCAGCAGCTCGTTGGGAGCCATGATGCTGTAAGCATGGCGAAGCACGTGACTCCGAAACGCGAGCTGCTCCAGACCCGCGCCTTGGTTGACGGCGGATGACCTGACCTCGCCAAACTCGATGTGGGCCGCCTGGTGAGTCGACGGTGCGGTGAATTGGCCACGCATCTCAAACTCCAGGGAGCGCCAAGCCCAGCGCTTCTTGTACTTGGGCAAGTTCTTGCGCACTGCCAGAAGCGGAGGCATCGCAAAGAAGAGGCTCAACGCCAGCCCCGAGTGCGTCCGCATGATCTTGGAGAGTGGCGTCGGGTCTTTGCTGCCTGCCTGCACAATGTCCTTGTTGGCTTCCAAAAGCTGTTGCAGCTGGATGAGAATGCCGCGCTTCGTCGCGTCCTGGCCGTGCTGGCGGGTGGCTTCTGCCTGCAACGCCGCCGTCACAAAGGCGAGGGCCTGCTTGAAAAAGTCCACGGTGGCGGCAAAGGCAGGCGGGCCAGCGAGTTGGTAGTCCTCGGCGATGCACTGCAGCAGCCCAGGCAAGCCGCCGTCCGCGCCCTTCAAAGCCGTGAGCACCAACTTCTCGGTCATGTTGTGCACGTGGAAAGCAACGTCCTCCGACGTGAGTTTTGGGACAATGGTCGATGGCCGCTTGGTCACAAGCAGGTTGGCAATGCCGTCGAGGGAATACACGTCGTAGTGGCGCGTCCACCGCTTGCCTCGCTCTTGGCCAACCACTTTGCGCACGTGAGCTTCCGTCAACATGCCCACGCGAAGGTCCAGGCGATCAACCTTGGTCTCCAGGCGATCAGCCTTGGTCGCCAGGTGATCAACCTTGGTCTCCAGGCGATCAGCCTTGGTCTCCAGGTGATCAACCTTGGTCTTCATGTCGGCCATGTCCGTCTTCATGTCGGCCATGTCCGTCTTCATGGCGGCCATGTCCGCCTGCATGCCGTCAAACTTGGCCGAGAGTTGGTGTAGCAGTCCCATAATGGATGGCATGGTGGAGGTTGGTGAAGGGAGAGAAAAGAGAGCGGGAAAAGCGAGGGAAAGAGAGGAGGGGGGCTGATCAAGTTTCTGCTGCGCTGTTGTTGGTAAATGCCAACCACTCGCTTTCAGTCATTACAAAAGCTGATAGCTTGTGCTGGGAAGTCGTCTATTTTTGGACAAACTGGCCGGGGGTTTCTTGTGTCGTTTGACTTGATTGATGCTATGGCCCCCTGCCAATCTACGTGATGGTGGTACATCCCACAAAAAAAGGGCAGACGGTTTGCGACCGTTTGCGGGAAACAATGGAAAACGGCAGACGGTCCCCAAAAAAAAGGGCAGACGGTTTGCGACCGTTTGCGGGAAGCAGGTCCGTAAAAGATCTAGCTTTAATTTTCTTCCTCTGGCTATTGAAAAACGAGACAGGTCAACGTAACGTCGTCCGGCCGCCATTGCAACAATGTCTGCAGGGACAGGGCACCATCAAGGCGCAAACGGAGCCCCCAATGAGGTCTGCTTCTTCGCGCGAAGCGTGCCATCCCTCTAACATGTAAAGCAATTGTGACTTGACATCGCGATTCACACTTGTCCAAAACGGCTGTTGATAAGAATCTTTTTACTCTGAGAGGGCAGTTGATGAGATGGCCAGCGTAACGTTCAAGATGACAACCTTGTGCAGCTGCTGGCGATGTATCTCATAGCACTCGACACACCCGAAGTCCCAAAACTCATGGCACAGCCATTCAGAGAGTTGCAGAGCACACCAAGCTCTCTTGCCATGGCGAGACTGTGGCGTGCTGATGCGCCTTGTTCATGCTCGACACCCAATCAAGGAGGCTCGACATAACAGCTGTGAATGTTTTTGGCTCAAAGCTGTCTTGAGAAGTCGGCTGCCAGGTCAGTCAATCAATCAAGAGCTATAAACACCGTAATTCTGACCGGGACCTGCGCCACACGCCATGCCCAAGTTTGACCGCGCGTGCATTGCGAGGTTGACGTCGTCCCGCGTTAGTAGATAGCGCCGACACTGGTGCTCTCACTCTCAGATCATCGGCATGGAGCTCACTGGGCCTCATGATTGCGTCTGGCTGGCTGAATCCTGAGCGGCATGCCGAGCTTTCTTAGGGTCCAACCTCATCCGGTATGTGTTTCGCTCCGCTTCCAAAAACAGCTGCCTTTGAAGATGCTATTTCTTACCCGAGTCATCCTTGATGTTTTGCGTGCGTAGACGCGCCGTGTATGCTCGAGCCGAAGGGGCCACACAACACTTTCAACTGGCATTATGTCGATGTTTAGCTTGACGCAAGGCTGATGACACCACTCATCGACTTTGACTTTGACGAGCCCACTGTGGACAATGGGCGGAACCGTGATCATTCGACACTGGGCAGCCTCAGACCAACAGACTCACGAGAGGGCATGATCCCATACCACCTCACCTGCTCCAAATGCACACACGCACAGCATTTCTAGTTTGGATGCCCCACATCGCGGGCCGAGCTTTGGTAGGGTCTTGAAAGACAATGGCTGTGGTTGGAGCCACACCGCTCTGAAATCTCAATTGGCCAATTGACATGTGAGAACAAATTTACCATCTCGGCTCAATTGATCGGCAATTGCTATCTATGCATGAGCTTGGCCAGGACAGTCCTGCCAGTATTTCGCAGTCCCCAAGAAATAAAACAAACGTACTATGCCATAGCACAATATTATTGAGTCGGTCAAACCCTGTGCTTCGCCTACGGCTGTTCAAGCGCAGAACGTCCCATTCTCGAGCTACATTCCAGCCAAGATGGCAGCCGGTGTTCCTCATGTGCCCATTCGAGGTACTATCGCGGTGAAATAGCTTTGAACATCCACAAGGGCCGTTGATGGTGCCTGAGTACACCATCACTTTGGCCCGCATTGACTGCGACTCGAGCCTCTCCTCTTTTGCTCCGCAAGCTTTGCTCGCTTTGCCTGCCCGTGTGTGATGTCACGGGCTGGCGGGGATCTGGATGAGTGTGCGGCGTGAGATTGGGCGTTTTTAATGTCGAATTGCCTACAGACGGGTTGGGTTAGGCTGCACCAGAAGAGGTGTAGTATGATCTCTCTATGGTCAATTCACAAAGCAAACAGAGGGAATAGAAACAGGAAAGGTACTTCTGGTCTACAGGACCATGCTTACATCTCGGTGGCAGGAACAATCCCAATGCTCTACAAGCGTCCTTGACGAGCGCTCTCAAGGATAATCAGACGTCATCCTGCAGTGGTTGATAACGATAACCGGGACTCGTATCTTCCAGTGTGTTCCAGCAGCTACTGGGCATACATCCATGCTTGCGGTCCGATACAAAGTGAGTTTATTCAAGCATCAGCCGATGGTTATTCTAGTTCAAGTAGCAAACGATGGCACGATTTATGATTCGAACCCACTTTGCGTCGAACGTGCGCCATTGTCCTCGCTAGAAATGACACTTCTTTTCGATAATCTTGTTGTGCAGCTACAAGTGCAGCAGCCGTCCTTGCTAAAGCTGCACTTGACTGTGTCGCATCACCTTGCGGATCATTTCTCTGCTCCTCAGCTGAGGCTTGACGTTGGCGAAAGCGCTTTGCTCGAAGAACACGTGTGCCGCTGCTGGGAGGACACTACATGGCGCGCTTTGCATTGGGTGGTGTTCCGCTCGAGGCCTGGCTTCCAGCTAGAGTCATTAACAACACACGTTGATATCTGTGAGAGCTCGCACCTGCGCCTGCACTCCAAATACATTGCATTTTAAATTCTCAGCAAGGTGCTTACGGCTAGCCAAACACATCCTGACCAGCCACAGTTGCACTTTGTGCCACGTTCAACCGACTGCCGTTGTGCGAAAAAAATAAAAATAAATAAATAACAAAAGAAATCGATGAGTCTTTTGAGCAGACCATCAAATTGGCTTCGGAATGATCAAAACGTGCCTCACACCGGCACGTACGATATCAGCTCATGCCGTGAAGGCAAGGTGCTAATGCCAAAGTTGACCTGACAGGACGTAGATCGAGCCCTGTGCACTGTCAATGCGTGCAAAAGCTGCTGGGCAAAGAAGATGGTATACATGCCGCAATCTGTGTTGTTTGGCTGCTGTGGAAGATGCGCGACGGGCCAGACTCCAAGACGCGCAGCGGCGCTTTTCAGTTCATCCCTGACATTGACGGCGCCACAAATTTCGTGAATGTGACTAGACACGTGGAAAAAAAAATCAACGAGACCGAGCCACACGCATGACGTTCAGCACAAGCTACTTCACCCTTGAGCACACCCATGCATGCGCACCTGCAGATGACTTCAGCAGCGGTGGCGGCGCTAGCTGTTCAGGATTCGAAAGCGTTGAAAAAGTAAATGACTGGCTGCCGAAGACTACATGTATTTCAAGCAAAGAAAGATAAATCATGGAAATGAATAATCACATCAACACGTCCGATTGATAAGCCCATCAGCATTGCACCATCATACTCAAGCTCAACCACGTGCCCTGCCATGTACTTGGGTGGAGAGCTGTGTGAAATGAGACGGAGCGTCGAATGATCATGAGAGGCTTGATATTCAAAGCACACGTTATGAGTGACACATTCAAATTCAATCCCATGCAGAGAAAGTGAGGGCCTTGCAGTCTGAAAGATCCGCAAGCGTGGCGAGGTCGCCGATGTCCTAGACGCACATGGTGGTGTGGGCTGCATGGTTGCATGGTTGCCTTAGGCAAGAATGGGGTTGAGTTTCGTGTAATGGCTTGTGGCAGATTGATGAGACAAAGTGTCCAACGACTAAGTTCAAACAGCCAAGGGCGCATCCAATCAAAGCAAAGCCACCCTTCTTGACACATGGGAAACAACAGACACTGCTTGCCAATCGAAACGTGTTTTTCCATCAGCGCCTTGACAGCTCTGCGAGAGTGTGGTGCACTATGTTTTCAACGCATACTGAGTCGCAACCGGAACAAACAACTGCTCTGCCGTAAGTGGTCGACGCGCATTGCTCGATGAATGTTTGTTGGATTCTGAAACTTACTTTCTTGAAGGCTTCAGAGGCGTCACTGTTCAGCAGCGCGCTTTGGTCAGCGAGTTCAAAGTTGACAAGAGTATCGGTCAGCCGGCGAGTTGGACCAGAGAGGCTACAATGCATATAATATAATGAGGCACGCTCCGCCACACGGCCCGAAACTTTCACATCAACCGCAGGACATCGTGGTCGCCGCTGTCGAGACCCAAAGATTGGCCTGGCTCTTTCTCCCAAAACGGGCAGAGACATTGTGTACTCCTCTCCAGGCCGCGCATACCCGATCCCCGTGGGCACGGTCGACGCCGCACGCTCGGCGTCTCATGTCGTTTCTTTTCTTGGCATGAATTGAAAAAACATGTCGATCGAATCAAACGAGATTGACAAGCGAAAAGTCGAGCAAAACGACCATCAAAGCGAAGTCGCCGACACGATGCGCAAAATAAGATAGACAAGGCCACGATTCACACAACCACCATCGAGAGAGACAACAACGCAAAGACAACCTCAACACTGACGAGCGAGCAGACCACATGCATGGGGAGCTCAATGGCAAAAGATTAAAGCGGCGTCAGAGGAAAGCGGTGCTGGCGAGGAGGGAGGGGAAACGGTTGTGCGCTCCACGGGCGCTCAATTCAAGCCATCGCAACCACAGGCGCTGCCGCGTGCAAGGCGTCGTCGTTGGCATCGGCGACTTTCTCAAAAGGATGTCGGAGGGGAATAATGCTCACTGGCACGTTCTCCTTGAGGACGGTGTGCGCGTCGACGCTGGCGCACTCAATGTAGAGCACCGGGGCGCAGTCCAGCAGCTCGTTGGGAGCCATGATGCTGTAAGCATGGCGAAGCACGTGACTCCGAAACGCGAGCTGCTCCAGACCCGCGCCTTGGTTGACGGCGGATGACCTGACCTCGCCAAACTCGATGTGGGCCGCCTGGTGAGTCGACGGTGCGGTGAATTGGCCACGCATCTCAAACTCCAGGGAGCGCCAAGCCCAGCGCTTCT